TGTAGTATACACATACAATGGAGTATTATTCAGCCATAAAGAAGAATATAATTTTTTCATTTGCTGGAAAATAGATGGAACTTTAAGCAAAATTAGCCAGACTCAAAAAGACAAATATCACACATTCTCCCTAATTTGTGGAATGTAAAAATAATGGGGTGACAGTAGGCATGGCGAGAGGAAGGGAAGTGAGAGGAGAAGGAGTGGTGGTGAGAGGAGAAGGGACAGTAATGGGGGCATGGATATGATCAAAATATATCCAATATACTGTAACCCAACACTTTATAAAATTAGTAGGCACTAACTGAAAAGAAAATGGATGCCGTATGGGGACAGAAAGGTGTGACTGACTGGGAGGTCATGGGAGACATTCAGAGGAGGTTAAATTTTTCTTGAACTTGAAGTTTTTTAGATAAAGTAGGGTACTTGCACTCGAGGTGGATGGGGATGTGAAAGCACAGCCCGATGGGAAGGAAGCTCAGTGTGAAGAACTATGGAGAACTCAGTGTGGTTAAAGGGAAACGGAGGAGCGCTAGATGTGGCTGGAAGTTACACTCCGTTCTGGAGTTCACATCAGTCCGGTATTTCTTGTTTAGTTTGTTTCTGTTGTTCTTTCCAGCACGAATATGACATGACTGGCTTGAGTGAATAAGCTAATTGAACTGTTTGAAGTGCAATAGTGTCTGCTATCTTTGAAGCTGCTATTCAACCAACTTGGCTTTATCAACTAAGAAAAAAACCCTGACTAGCCTTTATTTTAGTGTCACGGAATGTGACAAGTGTTTTCAATGAATCAACTGTTATGCTGTGCAACATGACATTGGGAAGTGGAATAAGTGCATTTTAATATGTTCTATGTTAGAGCATATTAATTTTTAAATATTGGGTTGCATTGTGACATTGTCATACATATATTTTAATCATATCCATCATCCCACCTTTCCCTTATAAATTTTTATGAACTCCATATCTTCCACCTGTGCTTTAATTTTCTGATAAGAAGTAGTAATTTAGTTCAGAAAAGAGTAATGATCATCCCTTTTTAATCATGTAGGACATGCTTTCTGAATACCAAGTAGTGGATACTGTGGGAACAAATCCATGAATATAATCATATGGACATATATAAATGCATGTATATACATATATTCACATGCATGTATTTGTATGTATAATATAATGTATTTACAGCCAAGTCATTTTAACTAATATTTTAGGTAGCAACTGTGATAACCTCTGGTTAGATGAGTATAATTGTAAATAAAAGCATACGTTATAGGCCACTAAATATTATTGAGGATACTATTGGCAAGGGTAATAGATTATTTAATTCTTCAAGTATCTTTCATTTCCTGTCAGTTTAGATTCTTTTTGAAGTAATTCTGAGAAGCTTCCCCTCTTGCGCTCAAGCACATCATCAAAACTTTTAAAATTCCACTAGTGAAAATATCTAAAATTTTTATATGTACAAAATATTCTTGTATCATTCTTCCTCCTCCCACTCAATTTTTCTACAATTGCTTAGTTTCTTAAGCTGTGATAGTTCACCAAAGTTTCCATTGATAACAGCTCATTAGATTTTCTTATCCTAATAGTAGCTATTTACAAATTAAAGTGAAAACTAATAACCATTTAAGTCACAATAGTAGCAAACCATAGAATATTTAGGGATAAATCTATCAAGAAATGTATAAAATATAATGGCAAAAAATTTATAAATTCCTATTCAAGTATCTGAAATAGTGTTTAAATTAATGGAAAGATAGATTGTGATTTTTAATCAAATTTAGCCTTTCAAAATGTGAACTCTATGTTGATTATGACATTTACTGAAATTACAAATACATCCTAATGAAGTTGTTTCTACACTTTTGTTAAAATAAATTTAAATTTCACCTGAGGAAGAAACGTGAAGTGTACGTATTTTATAGACAAATTGCGTTGGGTAGAATTCTGGCCCCATCATATTAGCTTTGTTATCTTTGGAGTGATATTCATCTTTGTGAAGCCTTGGTTTCCTCACATTTAAATAAGAATAGACTAAAAGCACTGATGCACATAAGTACTTAAATCAGCACTTGACACTCTATATTAGGTATTATTCTTTATATTATTATTGCTGTAAATATTCTTAGTATAGGAAGATTAAATGACCAAAGAGAGCCTAGAAATTTACAAATTAGAATTGTTCTTTGTCAGGTACTAAATCTTACCTAAAGCCATTTAAAAACCAAAGTGCCACCAAAGCTGGCAGAGCATTGGTATAGGAATATAAAAATAGATCAAAGAAACCAACCCAAGAACATAGAAATATGAGAATATGACAAATATATGCAAGTTTAATAGAAAAATTATTCACCTAATAAATCATGGTTGCTATACAATTAAAAGAAAAATGAAAATTTCTTATATCAGATATAAATATAAATTATTTCTTGATTAAAATTTAAAATAAAAAAAGAATAATAAATATTTAAAAAGAAAATTTAGGATGCTATAAATATAACCTGAAGGTTGGGTGGTACTTTTTAACAAACATTTGAATTCCTGGGGCTGGGGATTTAGCTTAGCGGCAAAAGCGCCTGCCTGGCAAGCGCAAGGTCGTGAGTTCGGTTCCCGGTACCGGAGAAAAAACAAAAAAACAAACAAACAAACAAAAAAACCAAACATTTGAATTCCAGATCAATGCATTGATTTCATGAAAAATTAAAGTTTTATGTATGATAGATGGTATACGCATAGTGAAAAGAAAGAGAAATGGAAAAAGTTTTACTATATATAGCACAAAAGTCACTAAAATCTATAACATACAAAAATGAATTGATGAGAAAAAGACATTCTAATAAAAATTAACATTGACATTAAGGAAAATGAAAATTAAAATGGCATATTAGCAAGTAATTAAACTGTAATTGTGTATTGCGGATGGTGATCTGAAGAAAAGGTACTATCAAACCTTACTGATGAAAATATAACCCTTTTCAGTTGTCTCATAAACAAATTTGACAGTATCTTTAAAAAACAAAACACTTTTGAACTTGCTATCTCATTCATGAGAATATATCTCACTGATATAAATTCACAAAATTGTAGGTATTACTGATATTACTGGTAGGTTTTTGGGAAAGGAGGGTAGTAAATGCCAAGATTATCAGATAGCATCTAATAGAGCTATATGTGAAATAGAGAAATCTTACAGTTCTAGTCCAGTCTAGTCCAGACTGCAAACAAACATTCACAAGTTCATTCAAGTACAGAATTGCCTGCAGGCATTTCATATTAATCTACTTTCTTATTATAGCAGTCTGCTGTTGACTCATCAAGGTTACTATGCTGTTGGATACTAAAATATTAATGTGTCCATCTAGGTATGTTTCATTCAGTAGTATGTTAGTCAGTTAATAGAAAATGTGGGAATTAAAATATATTCTTATTTGTTATTGCTGCTGAAACATATTTTAGTGGAAATGTTAAGTCAATAATCAATAGCCATTTCACAATAGTGTGTCTGGTAAGGTCATGCAAACCTAGGACCTGAGCCCAGGGTTTCTGTGTGCAGTTCTGTCTCCATACCCATCCCTTCAGTTTATTATATTAACTTCATGGCAGAGGGTAAACAAAACAAAAGCCAGTTTCCACCAAATTTTGCACATAGGAGCCTGTAATATATAAATATAATAAATACTTTAAACAAGTCAATGAAATTCACTGAATAGAAGCAATGAAATAAAATAACAAATAAAAAACTGTCCTTATCCTAATATACTGGTAAAGTTTATGTAGTGAGGTTCTAAGTACCTGCTTTTCTTCTCCTGGGATAAATGGGGTATGTGATCACATTAGATGAATGTTCTACTCAATGCCAAATGGAAATTAATACCCTATTCAGAGCATTGTAAATACATTATAAAATTGCAAGAGACAACAATGTTTGAGTATGTATTATGGACCAATCTCTTGTATTAAATTGCTTCAAATTTTTACAGCTGAAGGTTTCAGTTTTTGGAGTGTACAATTTAGCTAGAGTGTACAATTTAGTCCCTGTTATCTGATGGAACCGTAGTTACGTGGCCCTGCTCACACTCTGAACAAAGGAATGATCACTAGTCCATGTAGAAAGACGCGAAGCACTTGGTTTTGCATTTTCGCCCCGAAGGTCCTCTTCATTTGCAGTGCTGCATAGGACCTGATGGCCTCTGTGTGCTGTATTTCTCCAGATCCTGAATAGCAGACTCCACCAAGTCCTGCTACCTGTGGCCTGTGGTCATCTGAAGTCACCTGACTTGGAATGTGGCCACCTGAAGTCAGGAATGCTGATTGCAGCCGTTCCTGGGGGGCAGCCAAATAGGAGCTTTCAAAGCTTTTTAACTAATCGTTCATTAGTCTGTTTTAGTTTGAAGCTCTTAATTTCATATGGTAGATAAAAGCAATGAGTAATGGAAGTAACCATTTTGATGCTCCAGATATAATGTTGATGATTATTTCTGGGTTGCAAAGGAAAAAGGAAGGAAAGAAGAAAAAGTTTTTAGCAGAGGGAATCAGAGGTATGGTGATAGCAGAGAAAAAGTGGAGAACATTTTAAACTAAAAAGAGATTACTTTTAACTAGCTCTTTGAATTCTTCCAGTCTCAGGCCAAACCCATGTGTCCCAGAAAGCTTCTAGTTTGTTCTATGTGTTATGTAGATAATTGTAGTATCTATAAAATTAATATGGTAAATAATTTGTGCTGTTTTATAATCTATGTATTTTATAATTTTTATATTTTCCAGTTTATAGTTAATGATCATGAATAACATTTTAAAACTGAAAGGAAAATTTGCCTTTAAAATTTCAGCAGTGTTATTTTAACCAACTAAATTGCACTGAAATCATTGAGATGCAAATTTGTCCTCTGGTTAAATTAGTAGTTTGTATAAGATTACATTTGGAAGAAGGTAAAATTTTCAATTTCAGGTTTGACATACAAAAAATCCTCTTAATTTTCTGTTTTTGATAATAGGACATCTCCAAGTTTGCAGAGAAAGACAATATAGTGCTTGGAGAAGGTGGAATCACCCTGAGTGGAGGTCAGCGTGCGAGAATTTCTTTAGCAAGGTGAATACCTCATTATTGATCCAGCAAACATTTGCTGTAATTATCATGCATGTAAAACATGATAGACATTTCTTTCACATTACAGTGTGTTTCTGAAATTTAAAAGTTGAGATGTATGGCTAGTGGGTTACAAGAAAGCACCTTTAAGAACTAGAGAATGACACTGGTTTTGGATTTGCTAAAAATAAGGGCTTTGCAAAATGCTTATTTTGGTCTGTGTGTGCTTGCCTGCTTGTGGCGTGCTGCACTACTGACTGAAAGCCCTGGAACTCTGCACCGAGCAAGAAAGGAAAGGCAGAAATGTCCCTCGACCCGCCGTGCAGTCCTCTGTCCCCGCCCTCCACAGTGGTGCGGCTTCTGTTTGTGCTTCTTGGTTTGCATAAATGTACATTTTCAAAATTCTTACCATAATTTATAATTTTCATAACAAAAATAGTAAGTAAATGTCCCTTGGGTTAAAGTCTATAATCTTCAAAGTAAATTAATATGATAAAGAAATGTGACACTGGGTAGGTAGAATTCCCCTTGGTAAAGACACTCTTGGCACAAGCATTTAGAAACTGTCAAAGACAGTTGCATATAGTTAATTTGTGTTAAGAAAAAAGCATTATAACTTTCAGTTAAAAAGTTACTGGTGACGTGGGATGTTAAATATTCCTCAAGTCTTACTGGAGCAAAATTCTTCTGGATGTGTTGTTAAAGTTATTAATAAGAAATCATTTTCATTGGATTGATGTGTTGGCATCTTTCCTCTTACTCTTTTCTGCTTCTTAAAGCTGAGACAGAAATCTAAGTCTTCACACCTGCAGTTGCCTAGTACCACTCGTGTGTGTGTGTGTGTGTGTGTGTGTGTGTGTGTGTGTGAGAGAGAGAGAGAGAGAGAGAGAGAGAGAGAGAGAGCGAGAGAGAGCTCAATCCTCATCCAACCCTGCAAAGAAAGAATTGTTCTCCCCACTTTTTAGAAGAAATCATGAGATAACGGGGAATATTAGACATTAACTTGCCAAAAACCACACAGGGAAATTATGGAGTTACAATCCAAAAGAAGCGCTCTTAAATCTTTATATTAAACTGTCCATCTTGGGAATTGCACTGTGAGATAATGCATCAATAGATATAGATAATTTACATTAAAAATAGTGGCTTCTAAATAATTGGAAGTTGATTGATTTGTATGTGTCCCAAAGACTGAAGTACTCCATTCCAGATTTAGGTAAGGTGTATGGCTCTGGACAGTCCATGGAGAGCTGGTATTTACCAGTTTAAGACTTGGTCTTATTTTAAGGTGTTTGAGGCTCTACTAAAAATCACATTGTTATTTTGATCAGACTGTGTCACGTGCTCTCAGTTTGGGCTGATGAATGCATTATTTCCAATCTCTTGAGAAACTGTGTTTGTAGGTATGAAGGGAAGTATCTTAAGCTGCTATCTGTTGCTAATAACAACATTACAGATGTGTAAGCGATAAAGAAAAACTGGTTTATTTTGGCTCACATTTCCGGCTAAGGCATCACATTTGGTGACGGCCTGTCGTTAGCAGAGTCCTGAAGAAGTGAGGGCATCCATCACATGGGACACAGAGGTACAGAGAGTGAGTGTGTGTGTGTGTGTGCGTGAGTGTGTGCACACGCGCATGCATGCATGCATGTATATGTGTCCTCTCTTCTCTCTCTTTATTGTTTTAAAATCTTGAGTATTCAGTCATGGAAGCTCAACTTGGTTGACTTTATCTAATTCTAATCATTTCCCAAAGGGCCGTCCTATAAACATCACAGTTGAGTTAACCCTCGTTTCAGAGGGGACAAACTGTGGTGAAACCTTGTTAGAGACAAAGACGTAGAACCAAGTTTTGGCAAAGAAAAACCTTGAGTGTACATTTTGATGGACTCCCTTAGTTCTTTCACACACTGTCTTTAAAAGTAATTTATAATATAAACCATCTTTAGGTCTTACTTTGAAGTTTTGATATTCCTGGTTAGCTTCATTACTTCTCTTAATTATACACTGATTGAATTCAATTTTCTTTTTTTAAACAAAATTTCCCAGAATTATGTAAGCACAAAATCCTGTGTAGCTGGTATAGAGGTGGTATGATTAAGAATTATACCTGAAAAATTTAGATGTTTTGGTGAAATTGCCTCATTGCCATTAATATGGGAACCATATTTTATTGCTGTTCTAAACCAGCTCAATGGAAATATTACAACACTAGCTTATAAGATTTTAGTTTTTAACTTAAAAATAAGATAATACAGTTGTAAATTAGTTTTGTAAATTTCTCATCACTTCCTTTCTCGAACCTTTCATGAAAATGGTGCAGAGACGGAGACTGCAAGGAGAAAAGCGCAGTATCAAGCACACAGCCCCGACAACACTGCCCGCAGTTTGTTGATAGCAGTTAACACTTTGACAGGCTTTAAGAAATAATTTTACATAAGTGCTACAATTTGCTGTCTCTGACATTTTAAAGGTGGGAATAGCGCAGTTTCTCCTTTGCTTTCCCAGGAAAGTGCGGACCACTGGGGCAGACACTGTGGACCGTTGTGTGATGGATTGCCAGCATGCAGAATGGGGCCTGGCTCTAAGAAGTAGATACTGTTTTTAGAATATTTATTATTTTTAAAGTTAAAATTGTATTAATTTATGACACGATTCAGTTTGTAACTTTTACTAGTTTATGCCCCTGAAATTAGCAAAATCACTTCAGCAGTTCTTGCAAGGTTGTGAAAAGCCATAAATATAATGTGGCTATTCTTCCTTCTGAATAATTGACATTGCCCTGCATGGTGGCGCATGCCTGTAATCCATTACCTGGGAGGCTGAGACAGGAGGATCGGGCTGAGTTTGAGACCAGCCTGGGCTACACAGTGCATTCAAGGCCAGCCTGAATTACAGAGTGAGACCATGTCTCAACAAGCTTAAATAAAATAAAATAAAAAATAATTGACATTATTAAATACCCACACATCGCTTCTCGGCCTTTTGGCTAAGATCAAGTGTATTAAATACCCACATATAAAAGAAGTTTCTAACAGAGATACTTCCATCCATGCTGTGAACAGTGTTATTTCAGTGAATAGATGTAGTGACTGAAATGTAGCAAAGTGTTTTTCTTTTTTAAATAAACCATCTGTACTTACTAAATAACATGATAAATATTGAGGAAATCTAATTTAATTTTCATTTCTTTTTAGAGCAGTATACAAAGATGCCGATTTGTACCTGTTAGATTCTCCTTTTGGATACCTAGATGTTTTAACAGAAAAACAAATATTTGAAAGGTATGTCCTTTGCACAACTTCCTTATAATGCTTGCAGCGAAGATGAGAAAGAGGAGTGCAGCATGGTACTGCATGTGATGTCTTGAGACATATTGTTACATCTCACTGTGGACGGACGTAACACATCTGCCCAAGCTCTGTCCTTCACTGGCAAGACTGAAGCGGCTTCCACTGAGACCTTTTCTGAGCATTGCTTGTGTCAATTTCTTCCATTGCTGTACTGTTACAACAGTTGCCATTACATATGTGGTTTCTGCAGTATCACCGCCTTGTGCTATGTCTTCTATTATTTTAATTGGTTATTATACTTCATTCGTTACATACTTTTTGTAACTTAGTATTTTATGCTGTCTCCCTGTTAGATGGTAAACTGCTCAAAGACCTATACATGGTAAATGGCTGAATGGGGAATGCTTAAACTATGCATCTACCTCAGTACTTCTTGGAAATCTCCTCACCCACCCAAAGCTCTGGATTTCCACTTCCTTGGAGCTCCTCTTACGGTGCAATATATGAAGTTCCTAAGAGCAACAGTTAGTTCTATGACTTAATTTCAAAGTTTCAAAATGTAGATGATAATTTATTAGGAACATAGTCATTATGTGCTCTTCTAGGAACATTTTGAACAATAAGGATGCATATGTGTGTAATGTGTAAAATGGTTGTGTGATTTCTAGAATTGCTCTTTCTAGAACTTAAAGTTTTCATTTTAGCATATTTCTGAGATTTGAAATATTCTGGAACCTTGCTGACTTTGCTTTATGATATCCTGATTTTTTAAAATCCTGTTCTTTACAACATAAAAACATGAAGCCAAGAAAAGCTAACTGTCCAGGCACCGTTTTTTCTGAGGTGGAATTCCGTGGCGTGGTTTTGTTTGACATTTTCAGTTTACGGGGCTCTCACTCAAGTGGTGCTAGAGGCTGGAATGATCTTTCACTTACAAACCCCGAGGGTGTTTTACCCCAGCCTCGCGGCGGGAGCTGTCCAGTCCCAGCAGCATCGTCTCCACTCAGGTTGTTCCCAGTTCACGTTCTCACTCGCTGACTTCCTCACGGATCTACACTGAGGCGCGTACTGTTACGCAGTGCTTACGAGTTAAATTCTTACTTTTATTCTTAATCTAATGCAGAAGGTATTCATCTTTCCCCAAAGCTTATTTTGTCCCCTCCAACATGCCCTTTTATTAAGATCTCATACTAAAACCGCAGTTTTCTTTGAAATCCCTTTTTTTGCCCTGCGGTGGTATTATATAGCCCGACTTCCTTTTACTCTGAAAAACACCAGATAATTTCCACCATTTTAAACACAGAGTAACTCAAATGAGGGTATATTTCTAAAAGCCCTCTAACAAAAAAACAGGAAACACTCCTGAAACAAATCCACTTTTATTTATTTACTTTACATTAATTTAAACCTTAAGGGGAGCAGCGTCATAGATTCTGTGTCCAATGGCATTAGCAAAAAAGTTGTTTTAAATTTAGCACAAACCATTCCAACATGTCCATGCGCGTGTTGCCTTTCTCCAGGTTATTCTGATTTTATTTAGTTTGCTTCCAGGAGTCCCTGTGCTGCTTTTTTGCTTTATACACCATAAAATTCAGTTTTATTCTGTGCATAACCACTCCGATTGCGGGAAGAGCCAAGTGGTACCTTGGGTTCTGGAGATCCCACTTAGAGCCAGCAGAAGGGTTTTGCATCAGTCTTGCGGATGCATTTGCCGTTTAAAAGTTCTGTTCCCAGCAGGCCTCTTCAGACTCCAGGATGTCAGAAAGAACAGCTTTAGTCCAATTTAATATCCAAAATTCTATTTTTATAATCTTGGTACTCTGATATGTGACTTCTTGCCAACAGAAACTTCACTGCATTTATATTGTTGTTCATATTATTGTATTTGTGTGGAAGTATATGGTGTCTTTTTTTTATATAATGTATAATATCTTAATGGTTAAAACTCACCTCTCCTAAATGGATTTAATTAGGATTTACTTTTAGACTAGAGGGAAATTTTATTAGAGAAAGATCAAAGTTTATTATCAAATTCTCAGTTATGTTTTTTAAAATTAGTTTAGTATTAATATGGTCAACCAAAAATGGAGGAGGGAATTAACTAGCAGAAAATTAAAAGAACAAAAAAGCTTTAACCCTTTAAAAGATATGTGAAAATTTAGACTTGTAAAGATATTGAAGATCGTATAACTGTTCCCTCATTTGCTGAAGAAATAAATCAACATCTCACAGAATTAATAACTTGCTCAAAATTAGACACCACTGAATATCAGAAGTTTAATTTTATCCCAGGTCTTTTAACAGTCAATTTTACAGTTATTTCATGCTGTAATAATTCAAGAGGCACCAAATGGATTACTCCAGAGTATTTACTTTTAGAACCGCTTTAAGTAGAACAATAGAATGGTACTGCAGATGTTTGATACAATAAAACATTGGTAAAATCCATATATTATTATAAGGAGATATTTGTGAAGTTGGTATCTTATTTATATTTCTTTTGTATTCTTAAAGCTGTGTCTGCAAATTGATGGCCAACAAAACTAGGATTTTGGTCACGTCTAAAATGGAACATTTAAAGAAAGCTGACAAAATATTAATTTTACATGAAGGTAGCAGCTATTTTTATGGGACATTTTCTGAACTACAAAATCTACGGCCAGACTTCAGTTCAAAGCTCATGGGGTATGATTCTTTCGACCAGTTTAGTGCAGAAAGAAGGAATTCTATTTTAACTGAGACTTTACGCCGTTTCTCCTTAGAAGGAGATGCTGCTGTCTCCTGGAATGAAGCGAAGAAACAATCTTTTAAACAGACTGGAGAGTTTGGGGAAAAAAGGAAAAACTCCATTCTCAATTCAATCAACTCTATAAGAAAATTTTCAATTGTACAAAAGACTCCCTTGCAAAGGAATGGCATTGAGGAGGACTCTGACGACCCTCTGGAGAGAAGGCTGTCCCTCGTTCCAGATTCTGAGCAGGGAGATGCGGCCCTGCTTCACAGCAATGTGATCCACGCGGGCCCCACCTTCCGGGGCAGCAGGAGGCGGTCCGTGTTGAACCTGATGACACACTCGGTCAACCAGGGGCAGAGCATTCGCCGGAAGACAGTCGCTCCCTCAAGAAGAATGTCACTGGCCCCACAGGCCAGTTTAACAGAAATGGATATATATTCAAGACGGTTATCTCAGGAGAGTAGCTTGGAAATCAGTGAGGAAATTAACGAAGAAGACTTGAAGGTATGTATAAATTATTAGCACCCCCAGTGAAATTGAGTCCAATGGAATATATACTGTATAACAAAAATTACTCAAATTTGGGGGTTAGGATGAGGTTTATTTTAAGACTTGGAAAGTCCAAACACCATAAGTTATGTAAGCAACTTCCAAATGTAAAGTAATCAACCTTTCCTGCTTACAGTGTTTCTGTATCTTAAGATGTGTTATGTGCCAATGCAAGGTTTATTAACTGAGTTCTGTACTATGCCAGGGATATTCATTATTATAAATTAAAAAGAATCTGCTTCTTTACCACTTAAATCCTCTGTGGCATGAAGTTAAATATGGAATTAGCTCCTGTTAGGTAAAGACCAGGAACTATTTCAGTGTGAGGTAGCTCATGAAAGGTATGTAAACATCTGGTCTCTTGACAGGACTAACACATTCTGATTTAGACATTAGTCTTGCCTGAATTTGCTTAGTGTGGGCTTTTTTGTCTTTCAAATTTGTATAATATCTTGGATTTCTGAGAAAGTTTCTTTTAAAGAGTGGAAATCTTCAGACAGAAAGTCTGTTTTATTATTTAATTGAATGTATTTATTTGAATTTTGAGACAGGGTGATGCTATATAGTCCAGGCTGGCCTTGAACTCAGGCCAGTCCTCCTGCCTCTCCAGTGCTGTGATTACAGGCATTCGCCACCATGCTCAACTGTTTTACTTTAAAGAGCAAAGCGTTTTAATTATTGAAAATACAAATCCACGTAAAAAGAAGGTTAGCTGTGTTTTTACCAGAAAACTTACATGCTTTGAGTAAAATAAACTACAAGCACAATTGTAATGGATTGACAGGTTTAATAGTTTCGCTCACTTAAAAGCAACATGGCTTTGGAAAACCACAAGTCACTTAATATGTCCTGGCCAGAATTTTCCCCTTTGGGAAATAAAGGAATAGGTGATCCCTGAAATACATATTTTCAATGTTTACTTAATTTTAAAGAAGTTTCCTAAAGGATAATCCACCTATATGATTAAATATCCATCTAAGTGAATTACTCAAATCTGAGAATAGCCTGTAGTCACATAGCCTGTACATTCACCTGTAACGAATGATCTCCTTGACTAGATAGTATTTCCTGGTTGCTGCGGCGCCGTGAGCGTGCACTGAGGCCCCGGCGCTGTGGTAGGAGCCACGCGCAGATCATCATCCTCATTAACAGACGGGGAGCTAACCGAAGTTCCGAGCTCAGCAACTTGCCCCAAAGCAGCCACTAAGGGGTCAAAGGTGGAACTTGGGTTCAAGTGTAGGCCTGTCTGACTAACAACAAATAAAAACAGCAAACAAACAAGCCCTAATTCTGACCAGTGCATTCTGGTGCAGCTCACAGGACACCTCCTCGTGTTCCGCGGCTTCTACCTGAGTGTTGTAGAGTTCATGAGAAACAGGCCCTTCTCTGACTTTAGACTATCAGGAGCCTCTCTTACAAATGTTTAAAACTTATTTGCCAGAGGACAAATAAAGGTTTCTAGGGAATATACCCAAGACCAGAATTATGTAATTTAAGTGAGACCTAGGAAACGTTAACCTTGTGCTGCTGAGGAATGTACAAACCAGAATCAGCTGCCAGTCTAGCAAAACACCAAACGACTTGTCCAGCGACCCTTGAAGAAACAAGACAGATTAAGCAGAGTTCTGCGAGACTTCCTGTTGCTCACAATGCGCCCTGGAAGAAGGCGGGACACTTTTAGGCACTTAAATGCTGACACTGCCCTACAATAATACAGCTATATGACCAGTGGTATAATTTTAGAATTTTAAAGAATTAGAGTGTTTCTCATTTTTGGAAAAACTATGTAGCTCCAGGGAATATCATACTGGCTATGGAGTAATATCACGAATGGCATTCATAGTGATGTATACTTATTAAAATACACTTAGCTTCAAGCGTGAAATTTCTTTACTTATACATATTCAAAATAAAACCATAATGGTGGTATGAAATGGTATTGTCTTGTGATAACTGTGACATTTTTCATTATCAGGAATGCTTTTTTGATGATGTAGAGAGCGTACCAACAGTGACCACGTGGAACACGTACCTTCGCTATATTACTGTCCATAAGAGCTTGATCTTTGTGCTGATTTGGTGCTTAATTATTTTTCTGGCTGAGGTAAGAATATTCTGTTACAAAATATTACTATGATTTAAAGTTAAATTGAAAACAGTTTGGAACAGTGTATACATTTGTATGTACACACATACATAAATGTACTTTATGTTTACATGTGTATATATGTAATTTTAGGGTGCATAGTGGTATAGTTTCATATATAGTTCTTATCATCTGGAAAGCAGTAATTGATGTTTTATTTTTTATGCATACATATATAAAATGCTTAAACAGATACTATATGAAATTTTTAAAAAATCAATTGTATTGCATATTTTTTAAGGATGTAACATTATGGAATTCATATAGACTGTAGAAAGATTACTTTAATGAAGCAAATGAACATATTCATCATTGCAAATTAAAACCTTTTTTGTAGCAAGAGCAGCTACATTCTACTCATTTAGCATGAATCCCATTTTATTGGCTATAATCCTAGTGTTGTACATTTATTGTATCTCAGATATGAAAAATTTTTTAAACATTTCATAAGTTCAAAGTATAAAGCCTTTATGTAAATTGACATTTAAAATAATTCTGTACTAAATTCTGAGTTCATTTCATGGTAGATATTGTACTATTAAATGTGCAAGTAATGATTCTCTAAATGACTGTTTCTTCACACAATGAGATAAATACATGTTAGTGACTTGGAATCATTTTCAACCCTTTCAGAGATAACCCTGTACTTACTTACAGAAATGTCTGTGTCTTCATCACCAGCATTGTGGCTTCGTTGCTGTCCTTCATTTCACCAGGTTAAGAAATAAAAAGAGGGAGCTGCAGATAGCACAACAGGCCATGGAGAAGAGACTCTGGAAGGCTCTCTCCAGATGAGCACCGCCATATGCGTGCCTAAAGATGCCTGGCGGGGAATTTGGGTGGGGACGTGCCGTGGGGATGAAGGGACAGCATTTGCCCCCCAGTTATCTGAAAGGGGCAACTGTAACCAGCGCCCGCAAAGGACTGTCCATAGGGGGATTTGGAATCCCTCAAAGCAAATCTAATTTGTCCAAATAAGACAGATCCAAATTTTGTGTAAAAGTTTCCCTGTGTGCAGTTGATAAAATAAGTTCAAATAAACACTGTGTAGGCCCAATAAAGCCTGTCTCTGGATTCTGGAAAAACTGCTCCAGATACTTATTCCAAAGGGCGTCCCTTGATATGTCCCAAGGTGAAACCTAATTCTAACCTGAGGGCCCATTCTTGCCCTCAGGGAAGAAACGCTGCCGTGAAGAACCGCCTTTCCTGAGGCAGCAGAAGGCGAGGCTTAAAGGTATTGCCTACTGTTAGGTTGCTTCTAACCTCCATTAAGAAAGGTTGCAGAAGGTGTCCTCATCTTCCATGATCTTGTAAAATAGTGTTACATATATAAAGGTATATGCCAAAACCTTGCACATTCTTTTCAGCAAGAAACCAGGGGCTCCCGTTTATCTCTGCGTTTGGGTAATATCTGTTCCTTTGTCCTGCTGTTTTAAGTTAACAAAACAAAGAGAGGCCTGATTTGCCAGTGAGCATGGAGTAGTGCCCACTCAGGAGTCAGGACGCCCTGAGTGTGAGTTTAACTGTCTCATTAGCACTGTGAAACTGAATGGTGGGGCCTGTCCGAGACTCCATTTCCTCAGCTGTACAAAACAGACGGAAAAAGTACCGGTTACTTAGACCATTTTGTGGGTAAAGAAGCAGCGTGATAAATAAACACTTAACAACGTAGGGCTTGGTTTATAGTGAGCAACGGTAATTGCTGTTATCCTTAATGTCATATCATTATTAAAAAGCTTAAGATAGTTTGAGGTAAACAAGTCTGTAACAGTGATATAATGAAACTTTCAGTCATTCTTTTACACTTTAACAAAAATGTAATGTGGGGTAATTTGACATGTCGATATGAATGATAAATATAGGATTGAGGCGTATCACAAATTTACCTCATTAATATCTGCAGTGGTGCCAGATGACTACCATTAACAGGTACGAAACTCGGACTGTGCCCAGTTAATCTCAACCAGCCCTGGGTAATTGTTAGTAATTTGGTCCTCTGTATGGAAAGATCATATAACTTGACTTGTGTTCAACTTATATATAAAAAAAGAAAAGGTCTGAATATGCTGGTGATTTTTGCTAATTTGTAGGACTTTGTCTCCTGTGCAGTTGGATAGAATTGAACTTGTGTGCCTTGCAGAACAACTTTATACTAAGTAATTCATGAAGGGTTGAGCCGGTGCACATTTATAGTATATTATTATTCATTTAAGAAGGAACCAGTGGTCCATTGTCTTTTTTTTTTATTTTTTTTTTGGTTTTTCTCCGGTACCGGGAACCAAACTCACGACCTTGCGCATGCCATGCAGGCGCTTTGCCGCTGAGCTAAATCCCCGGCCCCGGTCCATTGTCATCAGGCAAGAAACTACACTACAAAAGAGTATATAAATACTATGTAACAGCCTATGATTAGTTGAGCTCTCACACTTATTGCAAAAAAGTTCTCTTGCTGTTTTTATAACAGACAAAATGATTGATAATTCTCTTTCTGAGCAAGAAATAATTAATGCTGAGCTTTTTTGGTCATTCTCTTACAGGCAGTAACAGTGAACTAGCCCTTAAAATTTTGAATAACAAAAAAATTTGAATAGCCAAAACATGATAGTAGAAAGCAGTAATTTTAGAATTACATGCATAATTATATATCTAAACAGTTCATTCGCTAGTGTTTACAGTCCTGTTGCCTGCTTTGGATCCAGTTACGTGGCTCTTCTTTTAGACTGAGCCTCTGTTTCTCCTTTTATTAAAGAGTTTTGTGTTAGTACGTGCTTGCAGTATGTGGTGGTCGCGTGTACTGAGCGGAGTTTGTCTGTGTGCGTGAGACAGCTTAGTCTTTGCTGTCCCCTGCTCCCCGATCCCTCTCTGCCCCCTCTGATTCTTCCCCTTCCCATTTGCAAAGGCTCTACTTCCATGTTTCTTCAACTCTTTTTAAAGACTGCTCCTTCCCTGCTCCTCCCTCCATCTCTTGGAAACACCTCCCTGCGTCCAATTCTCTTTATTTTACTCTTTATTTATACCCCTTTCTCATTGCCAGGGACCATCTCATTTGTACTTCAATTGTGGTGCAGGTGGTAATCCAGCACGGTAGTTAAGCTCTTTTAACCCCTGCTTAGAGATTAATAAAGTATGATCACAATATACAGTGAATATTTAAATAAAATTTATTACAATAAAAGACACGTTGCTATTCATCTTTGGCAAGTCACTGCCCCTCACTTCCAACACGTTTGTCCAATTGTTCTTGCCACTTTTTTATTTTAAAGAGAAAAGAACAAAAACAAAGACAAACACAATTGAAAGAGTTCCAGAATTCCTCTTTCATGGCGTCTGTCATGAGGTGTGATCAAAAGTGCAGTGAATGCTGCGCTGTGTGTCGTCCAAGGGAAAGCAGGCTTGCGGCCATCATGGTGTGTCTGCCTCTGCCTTATTCACTGGGTCCAGCACCAAGAAAATAAGATAAAATTTCTATCATGCTGGTCATTCTTGGCAGCACATTATAGACTAGACAGAGAAGAAGTGCGCATAATAGATTAGGGGGTGTTTTCCGACAACCCCACGGTGTTACTGGGTGGAGCATCTGAGGATCCTGTTTAGTCCTTCCTTTCTAATTACGGTCGTGTCAGAGATCTGCTATATCCTATGCTTTCATGCCTTCCTTTCTCTTCGTTAGTGAGGAATCCCCAGCGGCTTTTCACTGTTAATGGAACAGGTTCAGTATACCCCCATAGCACCACTTACACTATTGACCTAAGGGCACATTGCTTACCATGGATCTATGTTGTAGGGCATGATTTGACCAGTGAAGTAAAGTGTATAGTGTTCCATGTGATATGGAATGATGTTTAAAACCTTCAGAAAATGGAAAATAAATATATCTTTGCTTTTCCCTGTTAATCCTTCAAGACTATCACTCTACCTAAAATTGCATGAGGAGCCGGATGTGGTGATGCACACCTATAATCCCAGCACTCGGGAGGCTGAGGCACGAGGATCACTGCGATTTCGAGACCAGCCTGGGCTACAAAGTGAGCTCAAGGCCAGTTTGAACTGCATAGTGAGACCCTGTCTCAGAAAAACCCAAATAAATTAATTAAATAAATAAAATTGCAGGATGTTTATAAACCTCAAAGGGTTTTGGAAATGAAATCATAGAAAGTACTCGTTTGTGTCTAGCTGTCCAAAATATTTTTCCTGAAGTTATTATGTCAAGTCTTTGAAAATGTTTTATTCTAGTCAGTTAAAGGAGTTTGGATTGGAGAATCTATGTGGTTAGAGCTAGAAAATAACTTTATATTGCAATGACTAGCTCTTTAAACAGTTCATTTGGTTATTCCATTTGTAAGTGCTGTAAAATATTTATTTGTTTGTATAGAAACTCGCATCTTGTTTATCCCTTCATCGATTGATGGGCATTTGGGCTGCTTCCAGTATTTAGCTGTTACTACTCAGCCATTAGGAAGGGTAAACCTGAGACGTTTATAGGTAAATGGATGCACCTAGAAACCAAACTCTTAAGTGAAATAAGTCAGACACACATGTGTAAGTGTCACATTGTTTCTCTGCTGTGAGAAACTGAAAGTGTACATACAGACCGAAATGTATCATGGGTGCTGTGAAACAGGAAGAGGCATTCAAATGGGAAGGGGCACAAGGGGGTGGGAGAGGGAAGGAAAAGAAAATAATAAGAAAAGGAAGATAAAATGGAAACAGAACTCTTGTAAGTAAGAAGAGGAAGAGGGGTTGAAGGGAGGGGAGGGGAGTGGGAAAAAAATAAGAATTGGGGTATGCAAGTTCCAGATGATGAATGTGATCATTATGTATATCTAAACTGAACCAATAAACTCAATTAATGATCAAAAATGGAAGAAAATTTTAAAAATGTTGTTTCTGAGATTTTGTCCTGTTCAGATAATGTTGGCAGTCCAGCATTCTTGACGCTCCTTTGATCGATCGAAAGGGAGAGGGTGCCTTGGCAAACGCAGCACCCCTGTCCAGGGTCTGCAGTAACTGGGTTGGCCGTCGGAAGCAGGAAGAAGTTTGTCTAAGAACAAAGACTTCTCAAAGGGGTAGACCACTTCTGAGGTTCTCGTCATTTTGAACTTGTAGCTCAAGGAAAAAAGATCGCTCTTACCTTTATTGAGTCAGTATATGGATGCTGTGTGTGTAATGAAGAAGAGTAAGAAAGTCAGAAAATATCGCATCTAATTGGTAAATTTAATTCAAACATATGAACCTTTTTAATTATGGTTCTTCAGTATGTAAGAACTAGTGCTAAATGTTCCCCATGAGGATTTTACATAGCATGTACTTCAACTCTTTAAGATAAATTCAAGTACACATAAGACTTATTAAGTATATTTGCTTCTCCCTCTACTTATTTTATTCTGTGTTCATTTCCAGAATCACTTTACTCACTATTGCTTGTTTTTTTCTATTTCATTCTCTGAAAAAGTCACCCTTGGATTGATTGTGTAACTTGAGAGTTATTTCTAATATTGCAATTGTGATGGTAAAAGCACAAGATTACATTTCTCCAAATGGTTTACAAGAACAGCATGCCGAATTTAAATATAACTAGGCACACATAATTTAAATATCAAAAGGACTGCAAAGCCCACAGTTGTTTGAAAAATTGTTTTTGTTGTTTAGATATGACATAGAATATTTCTCCCTCAGCCAATGTTTTCACCGTGAAAAAGTACTATGTTCTATGTAATCCTACTACAAATAGCGTATGTTTTAACTTGAATACACCTTACCTTTACTCATAAATTATGGATTTTTATACTGTTGAAACATCGATTTGATTTTCATAAGTATTAAGTTCGCCTTTTCTGATAACTAATTGGTCTCACAGGTAAGAGTCTTTGATAGTTATTCCATACCAAATGAAATTATTTACAACAACCAAAGAGATTGGTTGTCTGCCAGCAGGTTGATATTAGTCTCTTTCTAAAAAATAAAGCTTATTATTAAAAATATTTAGATGTAATCTTGGTCTTCTGTGAGATTCAATGAGTATAGTTCCTGTTGAATAAAGGAGAGAATGACGAGTATTTACTTTGGTGAAAATTGAATTTGGTAAACTTAATATGTTCTTACAACAAATAATGGTGCTTTAAACAGCTTTTTCAGCTACTGGATCCAGGAAAGCAAAGCAAAGAAAATGAAAATGTGTACTTTGATGTGGGTCATGTTGAAATTAGAGATGGGTGTTAGAGGAATAGGTAAAGATGTTAGGAAAAAAATCAGCATTACATTTTTTCATTCCAGGTGGCTGCTTCTTTGGTTGTGTTGTGGTTACTTAAAAAGTGAGTATTCATGTTTTATTGTGGATTGTGTTTTGTTTTCACTGGTTATGTAGGTCTTGGGTAGTACAGAAATATCCACTACATTTTATTTCCCCCTTACTATTATGGCAGTGAAAAAACAAGTTATAGTTGTCCTTTGGTTTCTGAGGGGAATGGGGTCCAGGACGCCTATGGATATCAAAATCTGCAGATGCTTAAATCCTTCTGTAAATGGTGTAGTATTTGCATATATCTTATGTGTATCTTCCTGTATACTTTAATCATTTCCAGATTACTTGTAATACATACCACATTTTGTAAATGTTAAGAAATTTTCAGTACAGATGCAGTTTTTTATAAATTTCAACCCACCATTGGTTGAATCCAAAGATTTATAACCCACAGGTCCAGAGGGCTGACTATATTTTGTTTAAAGTATGAGCATATGCAGTTCCTGAGGTTCTTTGTCCACTTCTAAAGTAATTAATTTTGTTTCACCTCCATGAAATGCCATAAAAACATTTGAAACAGTATTATGTATGTAGTATTTTCTCTAAGTATTTTAATCTACTAAATATCAATTATATATATTTCAATGAGAAAAATTTTACTGCCTTGCAATAGAAAGAATTTGAGGCTAAGAGCACACATTGTTAATCTAATATGTTGTGTTTCTTTAGACTCAAATTTATTTTATTTTCCCCATGTATTGGAAATCCCATAGACAAGTTGTCACCAAGTGACGTTTTCCTTTTCTTGTTTACAGCAACCCTCCTGAACAGGCAGTGAATAGTACTCAAAGTGGATATAACAACTACGCTGTGATTGTCACCAACACCAGCTTCTACTACGTTTTTTACATTTATGTGGGAGTGGCCGACACTTTGCTTGCTATGGGATTGCTCAGAGGTTTGCCACTGGTGCACACACTAATCACAGTGTCGAAAATTTTACACCACAAAATGCTGCGTTCTGTTCTCCACGCGCCCATGTCCACCCTCAACGCTTTGAAAGCAGGTACTTGACGGCATACCACTTGAAGCTGCTGCTCCGTCATCAGAGGGGCCTGTCCTTCTATTGGCTCCGTAGTAACACCGGCTTCCCAGGGCGGCACCAGCCCTTTGTTAAGCCTCCTATGACTGACAGGTGCATATCTCAGATGTTACAGGCAGTTAGAGTGTGGGTTCTGACGTTTCCGGACCCTCTGATTGCAGTAGCCTTGTTCGTTAGGATGGGCTGCTGAGGGGCCAGCAGCAACGGACGCAGTCTCTCTTGTGTCCCTTGTCCTTCTCTTCCCAGATATTTGGCTCAGTCTCCTTCTAGGCATCTTGCTTCCAAATATAGTGTTGTTCAAAGAAAGAGATGATTTGAAGTGAACAAGGAAAATGTAAAAGTTCTACTAATAAAATCTTTTCATAGACAATAACCTAGTTTTACATAACTGCTTAAAGGCGAGCATACAAATTTGTTTTTCAATTTTTCTTTTCTTGAGATTAGGGGAGATCCCAAATGCATTTTAAAACTATTTTTGGCACCATCATAGATAAAAAGATGGAAATTCAGAGTAATGGAATAAAGGGACCAAAACTTTCCAAAACTTAGGGTAACAAAGTACTATGAAAGTGATCAGTTCCACTGATTTCCCTTTAGATGAGTTCACAACTGAAGACTGAGGTTAGTAAGGTGTGCTTCCAAGTGTCATCCTCACAACAACCTGCTGAGCTTTCACTGTAAGCCAGGGTGAAGGCTGGGGAGGAGAGAGGGGGTAGTACACAAAGATCAAAAAGGCTTTACCTGGAAGGGCCCACAGGTGAACGGATGAGCTGCAAACCCAAAGATTTGTACAGCAAGAAATAAATTGTGAGAGTGAGACTTTTAGAGAGACCTATATGTGAAACTCTCAGGAAACAGCCCTCATATTTACTGCATAACAAAATTTCAGAGTCAGTCTATAGGAAGACCTGTGTATTTGTCTTGAAGCCCGCGTGTGTCACTAACCGTTTGCCTCCGCTGATGTATCTACTGCCATCCGCTCTTTCAGAGGCAAGAATTTCAGACCTAAGTGGTTGACCAGTACACTTGATCCAATAAATTCATTTGTAATGGAAACCTGAGACCTGGAGGAGGTAGGGATTTGCCCAAGTTTCTGGCAGTGGCAGAAGTGAGTCATGCAATAGCGCCCAGAAGCGTTCTTTGAGCTCCGGTTTGGCCCTGTAAGAGTGCTGTTACTTTTCTGAGCACTGGCCTGCTCACCTCCAAGCTGAGGGAAAGAGTAATTACCTTAGGGGTCTGTGGGAACGGAACAAGGCAATTTGCTTGCCTACCGCATGGCCACCGTGAAATAAGTGTTCCCTTCCCGTCACCGTTCCCACCCTGAGGCGCTGTTTCCGCTCGCCCACACTTTCCACTCTACTTCCCTATTTTTCCCAGGTCCTCACTCCCTTAAATGCTGCCCACACTTGGTTCTGAGCCTGCCTTCTGTCACACTTAAACGATCGCCTCTGCTTCCTTGTTCCTCACTCTGGTTCCTACTCTCCAAGCTTTCCTCTGCTTTGCAGGGGGGTTCCTAAACACCCCTGTGTTGCTTGTGTTCCTTCTTATTTGTGATCCTGAGACCTGAAACAGCCGTTTGATTACAATGGCTGTTGTCCGTCTGCTGGCCCTCCAATTTTTGTGTGCAGGGATTATGCTTTCTTTTAACAACTATCTTTATTATGGACTCGAGGTTCAGGAGGTCTCATCCTGTCGCCTCCTTACTCTCTGCTGTGCTTGGCAAGGGCAGTGTAGTACAGTTCTCTCAGAGGTGCCTTTCTGCAACTGTGGATTGACCTTGATTTTCTCAGACTATTGCCTGATTTTTCTGTCGGTTTTAAGTGGCCTTAAGCTTATACAGACACATAGTAAGTGCTTAGCAAAGTATGCTGGATGGATGCAAAGTGTAAAAGTATGGTTTGACAGAATATGACAGTAGGAAATATACACAAATCGTATGAATTTTTTTCACCAAAGCCAACTTTCAATTTCTAAACAGTAGCTACAACCTATGGACTGTTTTTTCAACTTTCGGTTTATTTATGGAAATATACACAAATATGTTTAATGAAAGATGCTAAGGAATAAATGATATCTGCATGTAAAGCTTTCAGCTAGGGGCCCCTAGGCTGTAGGTAACTTCTGACAATTTACAGTCTAGGAAAAGAGATAAGACCCACACAAATGCAAGCAGCTGTACAACACACACTGTGACACAGAGGCACAGACAAGGAAGAAAGGGTCAATTCCAGCTGCACCAAGCACGGCTGCTGTCTTGCGTGAGGGTCATTTGAATCAGGCCTGGGAAGTAACACTGGTTGTGACAAGGAGAGATGAGGGGGCAAAGGTCTCCAGGCAGACAACTGCGTGGGGAAAGTAGGAGGTGAGAAAGTGCGGGTTGTGCTTCCAGGATAGACCCATTTGGCTGAAATAGGGTGTGTCAGTAGAGGAAGCCTGTACTAGACAGGTACAGCCAAATTGTGGAAAACATTAAATATTAAACTAAGGGCTTTGGACTTTATCCTGCAGTTAATAACGGGCAAATGATAAAGTTCAATACGATTTTGTTTGTACAGTATTATATTTTATCTAATTGTTTGTTTAACTCTTCTCCAGATGAATTCCTGAAGGGCAAGGAGCACGGTTTATTCACCTCTGTTATCTTAATGCCTGGCATTGTGCCTGGCACATGGTAGACACTCCGTATGGAATTATTTTTATTACAGCAGTTATCAAACTTACGATTGTGAGGCTGAAGCTTAGATTGCTGGTGAAGATGGTAGAAGGAAAATGTGGCAGAGAGGGCCACACCCCAGGCTCGTACAAGGAAGGAGAGCAGCCTCGGACTGTGCGGAGCAGCTCCAGGAAGGCTTGAGGGTCACAGGACAGGGAGAATTCTAGGTGATGGGCACGGACAGGAGGGGAGGGCGGCAGCAGACCCCGTAAGTTCTCTGTAGAGTCGAAGGCAGGAAGTGAGCCTGTATACTAGGATAGATACCCGTTCCTGACATAATTTATAATTAGGGCTCTAGTAAAGATTTTTTTTACCTAAATCTTAAAGTAGTCTGTTTTATAAACGCTGAGAAGTTGGTGACACTAACTTACGCACATAGTTACTTAGAATCTTGGGCAAAACTAATTTTTTCTATGTCTGTATTTATCTAATTCCATGCTAATTGTTATGTTAATTCTGATTGCTTCTGCTGAAATCCAAATTTAATATTAAATACATGAATATATCTCCTTAGAATTACTTGATTTTTAAGAAATTTATCTTCTTTCTATTATAGGTGGGATTCTTAATAGATTCTCCAAAGATATAGCAATTCTAGATGATCTTCTGCCTCTTACTGTATTTGACTTCATCCAGGTTTGTAAAGTTAACTGCTATTAACTATCATTGCATTTGTCATATTTTCAAATAATTACAAAGAGAAGTTAATGAGGTTTTGCTTGGCTTTCATCTGACTGAGAGTTGGAGTCCTGTCTATTGTATAAATTTTGAGAATATCAATTCTTCAAAATAGACATGTTTAGTAAATTAGGCAGAGTTGTTTATCTCTTCCAAACCCAAAGCAACCCCATGTCTAGATGTAACAACTCTGGCAGGGAGCAATTTGAAAGGCAAAAAAGACTCTTACCCTAAGTTATTGGCCAGATAATATGACATTTTTGACATTGATAGCATTATGCTTTGGAAGTCCGTGTACCGCACCTCACAGAAAGCCCCTATTGAAATGAAAATGGGTTCCCAGGGTGGGTTACACTTAAAACCAGTGTCACTCACAAGCACTTCAGCACAGATTAGCTAACCAGGTCCCACATGGCAAGGGCCACAGTGAAAAGACAGACATAGATAAGTTTCTGAACGGGTGAGAGGACAAAGAGAAATTCAGGTTGTGTGAGGCCTGTGCCTGAGTGACAGATGGGAATAGACCTCCAGGGCAGCCCAGCTGTGAGGCGGAGTCTCTGGGGTGAGCAGAGAAAGGCGGGGAGGTGGAGATGAACTTGACCTTGGGTAACCACATGAGAACTCCAGTGACAGGACCCAGGAGGATTGTGTGTTGATATCCTTGGCTGTTGGGCCAGGTTTGAGCACAGCTTTCTGAGCTTCCTGTGCAATTTAGTTGAAGCTTCAAAGAGCAAATGCCACCACCTCAATGACTTATTCGGAGAAGCAGCTGAAATCGAGTTAGGGATGATTCATTCTCTGGTGCTCCTCTCCTGCCCTGCAAAATAATGAGACACAGAGACAGCTTTAAAGAAAAAGGAAGAGCTACCATGTATGTATGTACACAAACAACGCTGGCAGATGCAGAAAAACCAGCCTGTCCGTTTACGTCAGTGGAAGTGATTGATACAATCAAATATGTACGCCATTCCAAGAGACATTTTGAATTTTTTTCAGTCACTGTGTTTAGAGATATAACTCAGCAGTACCTGCTGGAAATTTTTTATCCATATTTTGAATTCATTCATTCAAAGGAACATTTCCTGTGTATTTCTTTAAATGCTGGGTATTTGTTCTACATTCTAGGGGTATAAGTGACTGGTCCCAAGTATAAAATTATTAAATCAAGTACAAACTGGAACACGGACTTTGACCTAATTGCAAAACAATTCACAAATGGTGCCCCTGTAATAACCATTTCCTTACTTTCATAGTGCACTGAGAATCTTCTGAATCAGTTTGAGGCTTACCTCAGAAATGCTCTGGGAGAGTTAACGTTTAAATATTTATTTTGTAAGTTAGCATTTTTATAAAAATGATGGCTCTCGAATCCTTTCCTTTATGCCAGTGTGAGTCATTTCTGCTCAAACCCTACTACTGTTGAAGTTCATTTGTTGTTGCTTCCCATGTGAATAGGCAGAACAGTTTTACTTTAATTTACCCACTTTATTGATAATAGAAGAGGTCCTCAAAATAAGAAGCATATTATATGACAATCCAATAGAGCAAAAAGTGACCCATTTTGATTTTGTTAAATAGTTCACCACGGAAGGTTCTTTCGAGTGTGAACTTCTCTGGCTATTCGTAATTATGTCCAGACAAGTAAACTCCTTTCTCTTCACAGCATGTCAGAAACAGATCTATTGCACAGAATAAGGCACACCGACTGTCCTAGGCAGCTTCCCTGTTGCTGGAGCAAATGCATCACATCCACCAGTGAAAAGAGGAGAGGGTTATTAGGGTTGCGGTTTCAGGGAGTGCGGCCCGCATCTGGCTGGCTCCAAGGCGGAAGTGGCGTGGCAGAGCAGCACCGTGGAGGAACGCTGCTCAGCCCTTGGCTACCAGGAAGCAGAGAGAACGGAGGAGGCCGGGTCGAAAACACACCCTCTGGGTCATACCCCCCGCGACTTGCCCTCTGACCAGGCCTAGGACTGAACACACGAGACCTTCTGTTAGGTCTAGACGATACCATCTATAAATTTCTTTCCTAAAAAGCCTTAGTTTCTCTTCACTGTGTTCCCTAACTTTTGATGCTATCCTGACAGATTGCTGTCCAGATTGGAGCTCTGTTTAATGAAAGCGGAAGACCTGAAGACATCGCTGTTTTTCCTTGAGCTAGATGCTTAATCTTGAAGGGTCATAGGTTTGTCACCTACAGAATAGGAAAATAGAGCTGATAGTGCTCCCTTCAAGATCAGAACTTATGTTTCAGGGTAGCATGCTAAAATTGCCCCATACACGACAAATTTGTTCTTGAAGGCAAACAGTAAAATGCTAAGAGTGATGCTAATCTCCTAGCATTATACCTATCTCTGCGAATTATTCATTTCATGAAACAGAAACATGTGCACTTTAAAACCAAAATCTTCTGTTCTTAGCCTCCAAGCTTTAAGGAGTGTTTTTTCCTTCTTTATTATCCCAGTATGTTTACACACTGAGCCCTGCTACTTTGATCTCTGCAGTGTGTCTTTTGTATCTTTTCGCTACTTCTTTATTCACCCGTATTAATGCCATTTATCTCTTGGTTAGACAGTTTCAAAGACTCTAAAATGCCAAATGGTGTGGTCATTGCATGATGTTAAATAGGCATTCAATTTATTTCTTCTTACCAGTTTCAAAGTGACCCGTCTTTGCTGTCGTCTGTTTGTTTCTGTCTGGGCTTCAGTGTGAGAACGCTTGGAGCTGCTTTAGTGGTGGAAATCCGCTGCCACTTCACAGGACTGTGGTCACGTGGCACTTTTGAGGGTTCACATTCTGATGGTCTTGGTCTCTTTGCTGGAGAAATCTAGGGTTTGGGTAATTAGAATGGGGGTTAGGAATACGTGCTCACTTTTGTGCATGTACAGCTCAGTGGTGTGAGCGTCAGAATACAGAAATACGTGCTCACATTTTATCTTGTCGTGAAGGCCCGCTACTTACTTACTTATTTATATCTCCAGTTAGTCTCTTCTCACTGATATACCTGGCCCAGAATGACTTCTGTCTAATCAACTACGGACTACAAACTAGGCTATAACTTAAGATTTCTTTGTATATGAGAGGATCAAATATATTAAACCAGTGCCTTTAATTTTTCAAACAGGTCTAAATTATTAGGGCCTGGCTTCAGTATCTAATAAGGACCTCTTATAGAAGAAAACACACTGTTTTTCTCTCAGTGCTGGCAAACCTTTTAGAGCTTTCAATGAAAACGAACAGGCAGCTGTGGCATGTGCACCCTGGGTTTGCTACTGCTGCGGCGGTTGTAGTTGCTAGAAATCTGACTGGTGTTTCCTGAATGTTCTGTCACTTCCACGTGCACCCGCCTTTCCCACTCTTCCATAACCCAGTGTGACATCTTGGTCCAAGCCCACTTGTGTTAGTCAACTTTTTGAAAGCACAGCAATCCCCGAGAAATCAACCGATAAAGAGAGGTTTATCTAGGTCACAGTTTTAAAGGTTCCAGTCCGATGACCACTGGCCCCTGTGGTGAAGCAGCACATCAGGTGGGAGTGTGTTAGAGACCAGAACCTCGCACCTCATGGCCATCAGCTAAGCAGAGGGGACAGGAAAGGGCTAGCATCCCACCATTCCTTCCAGGACACTCTACCGTGACCCGAAGACCTCCCCCAGGTACTCATCTTTGATATTCCACCCCCTTCTCATAGAACACTGAATCTTTAACAAATGGGCCTTTAGGGTCATTTGAGTTCCAGACTATTTGTACTACCTATTCTTTCCTAACATAGTTACACTTTTCATTCCTCACAGTCTCCACCATGTCTGCAATCACTAAGATGGAACTGATACTTTCAAGGGAAAACAGGTTAAAGACTAGGTTATTTCCTTTACCCACAGAATCATTTTTCCCAGCCAATGCTTAATGAAAATGTCACCAGTTTGGCATTATTAGTAGAAATAGCATAAGTCAAATTAATGCAGTGCATTTTATAGCCATCAACAGCAAACAAAAGACCCTGACTCTAATGGAATAGCTAAATGGTTCTACTATTACTAAAGCAATAGCAGTTTTTCAGATGTTTAATATGATGACACTTTTTTTTTGAGACAGAGTATGTAGTTCAGGCTGGCCTTAGGCTCACTATGTAGCTCAGGCTGACCTCTAACTCATGGAGATCCTCTTGCCTCAGCCTCCTGAGTACTGGGATTACAGGAATACACCACTATGCCCACCTGACCCACTTAAATTAAATAATATTCCTGAAATGAACCATGCTTAGAAGTTAATTTTTCTCTTCTTTTTCTTCCAAAGTTACTATCTAAGACTTAGAAAAAAAATTAGTTTGCTAGTGATAAAGTATCTTGTTAAGTAGTAAGTTAAATCCACATTTTTTTGTAGTTCTGGTAGACCAAGAGCAGAATCTGGAAGGCTTCCTACCTAGATTATTGAGTAATGAGGTACCTTTTCCAGTCCCTGGCACAGTCAGATTTATCCAGCTGTTTGTGGAATGAGTGGGAAGCAGGCATTCCACCATTTGATGACTGGAATTGTAGAAACATTTTCTCTTAGAAAAGTACCCTTGATATATGTTCATTTGAAATTTTAGGTGGAAATAGCAAGCAATTTAAAGATCTGTGCAAGTCTGAGCTACACCCTCTCCTTGCCCCAGTTACCCAGGTGTCGTGTGTTTTACTGCATCAGCTGGAAAATGCATGTGTCACGCATGTAAATTGGTTGAGATTCGCACCCTGATTAGCTTCTGGGTGTTTGAGGAGATACTCAGGGGGATCAGATCTGACCATCTTGGCTAATTTGGAAAGGGAGAATGCTGTGTAGTTAGCCCAACAAGCAAGTTCTCTGGGAATTTATTCTAGTACTGTTAATGTCACAAAGATAATCTGAGTGTTGGCTTATAGAGAAACAGCAACAATTCTGTTACCCTGGTAGTAATTCCTATAGTGTTATCCTCTGGGACAAATTGGATGTAAACATACAATAACAGTTATGTCCCACCTTAATCCTAGTGAAGAAATCTGCAATTATGGTTTGTATAGCTTCCGTGGCTTCTCTTGTTGTTTTCGGTTTCATCTCATGACCTGTTAGGATGCAAGAAACTGCATATTTCAATATTTTTGTATTTGCTTTATGGCCTAAAAAATGATCTGCTCTGGAGAATATTCCATGATATGCTGAGAAGAATATTCACATTCTGTAGCTGCTCCAGGTAATGTTCTGTAGACATCTATTAGGGCTTTCTGACCTATGGTATAGCTTGACTCTGGTGTTTCTTTGTGGATTTTTTTGTGTGGATGACGTATCTGTTGGTGAGAGTAGGACCATTGAAGTCACCCACTATTATTATATTGGGACCTATGTCATTTTATATTGAGTAGTGTTTGTTTTATAACACTGAGTACCCCAATATTAGGTGCATGTATATTTAAATTATACCTTCCCAGTGGATTGTTCCCTTTTCCAGTATGTAGTGGCTTTCCTTGTCTCCTCTGACTAACGTTATCTTGAAGCCTGACACACAGTAACTGCAGTAGGGTGACTCCAGAGACCTCGCGGCGTGATTGTTCTGTGATTTCTGATTCCTGAGAACAATAAACCCTTTCTCTGAAGGGCTCCTGATTATTCTACTACCAAATATGGTGGGGCTGCAGTGGATTTCCTGTATAAAGCTAGCTTGCCCTTCAAAAGGAGTCACTTTCAGAGTAAAATCTACGGGTATTTTCAGGCTGTAAGAGCTGTGGGTTTCTCCTGGCACTAGTGCCGCCCAGCTGTTGCTTGTCCCGGTGGCTGCAGTTCTCTTTGGGTTTGCCTTGTGTGTTCGGAGTCGGGTTCTCCTGTCAGGAGCCGAGGCGGCGTCAGCATTGCAGGGTGCTTTGCTCTCTTCCCTGCGTTGGCCCCTGCTTTCCTGTGGATTCTTCCAGTTCTCGGAGCTCTTCGTCTTTTCCTCCGTGCTAGGCACTTGTTTTCCATGTACCTTAATTCTGGGTCCTGGAGAAGCCACACTTCGCTACAAACCCCTCTGTCATGTTTAATCCTCTTAAACCTGTATTCAAACCAAACATTTCTGAAAAGGCTCCAGTATAAATGTCAAAATTGTCCCAACCAAATAAACCCTAAAATTTATAATCATACTGAAATTATTTTGATATAACTTTTTAAAAAGTCAGGCTGAAAAATTTATTTTCATTTAAAATTTGTCATACATCACTTTTAAGTTGTCCGGGAAATGAAAATGTTCTGAATTTGAGGAGTGCCATGTCTTCAGATTTCCAGTGTGTTATTGTCATTGACCCAAACAATTTTTGAATTTTCAAAGACTCTGGAAAAGTGTATTTTGAAATTGCTGCCTTCCCAGTAGCAGGACGCCTGTCTCTGACCGAAAAAGAGTGCGAATGAGCGTGGTGAGCTGATGTGGAAGTGGATCACTAGCATCTTGTCTGCTTTACGGCATGGAAACATTTACTCACTGACTTGTTTTCTTTGACTCTACAGTTGCTGTTAATTGTGATTGGGGCTGTCACGGTCGTCTCGGTTTTACAGCCTTACATCTTCCTGGCAACCGTGCCAGTGATAGCGGCTTTTATTATGTTGAGAGCATACTTCCTCCGCACTTCACAGCAGCTCAAACAGCTGGAGTCTGAAGGTATGGCGTTGAGTTTGCAGTGCTTATGCTGGAAAAAGCCGCATGAGCTTCTGCGAATTCTCTGTTAATCTGCTTTTTGAAAAAAATCCTTTCCTTTTTTTACGTTATCTAGTAGTGATTTTTGAAGAGTACATGCATATAAAAGGAAACTACAGCATAATGTACAAAGGAGTGTTTATTTATTTGTCTGTTGTACTAGTACATGTTTGCAGTACAATAATCGCATTCGTCGCGGAGAGCTGGTGCACGTACCTAACGCAGTTTATTTCTTTTTTTAAAAGCCCCTCCCCCTTTTTTCTCCCTCTTTCCTTCATCTCTTGATTCCCTTCCCTTTTGCAAAAGATCTGTCTCCCTATTTCCTATTATATTTTATTTCGCTCTACAATTTATTTTACATTTTGTGTTTCTCATATGAGAGAAATCATATGATGTTTAAGCTTGTTTATCTCATTTATTTCACATAACATTATGATCTCAAGTGAATCCATTTTCTTACAAATGGTTGTTTTTAATTAATGACCTTGTGACTTTATTTTGATTTTGAAACAAGTGCATAGAATCTTACCAGGATTGGCAGAAAGGACATTCATTTATAATTTTATCAATTAAATTAAAAAATGAAGGTCTACCACAGATGTGATGACACTAGACAATTCTCTTGGGCTGATTGACTTCAGATCCTTCCTACCAAATCTATCTGAACCCTCTGGGGAGCAGATGTTTCTGTCAGCTTTGGTGTGGGTGCACTTTCTTTTTCACAGTTCTCCAGTTTTCTGTCGGCACTTGTTTGTAGTGCGCGGTGATCACGTTCCTCACGGAGTCGGGGCATGCGCCTAACACATCCTGACTCCATGATCACTCCCTTGCCCGCTTCCACCTCTTGATGCCTTCCCTTTTGCAAGAGACTGTATCCCTACTTCCTGTTATCTTTCCCTTTGCTCTTCATTTACACTTTGAGTTTCTCAGAAGAGAGAAACCATGCAATATTTAGGCTTGTATATCTGATGTAGTTCACTTAATATTATGGTCTCAAGGTGCATCCCTTGTCCTGCAAGTGGCTCAAGTTGACCCTTCTGTATGGCAGAGTTGTGTGTACTCTGCTGTGTATAAATACCACAGTTCTACTCCATTCATCCGTTGATGGACACTTAGACTGCTTCCTAGATTTAGCTATTATAAGCTGTGCTGCTCTAAACATGGGTGTGCATGTATCACTGTAATATAACGTGTTCATTTTCAAGGGAGAAACTTCCAACATATTGAATTTGAGCAAAAGTTGCATAACTTTCTTGAGATACTTGAAACATCTTTTAAGAGAAAAAAAAAAATTATTTCTCAGCAGTAAAAAATTTAGAATCAGCCAGAAAGAAAATCCCCAGTGCTGACCAAGAAGTATAAATAAACAGTGGTAATAAGTTTCCATCCATAGTAGCCATATAAAAGGAAAGGTAATCATTTAAAAAAATTACAGATCCCATCTACTCAAATTATGGCACCAGCATGAAAGACCTCTCCAACCAGTGACGTTTATTTTATGCAATCCAGGTAAGTTAGCTGTTTTCAGGATCATAGCACTATGAGACTGCATTCTATGTTTCCTTGATTTGCATCGTTTTCTACGGAAATATTTCACAGGCAGGAGTCCAATTTTCACTCATCTTGTCACAAGCTTAAAAGGACTATGGACACTTCGTGCCTTTGGACGGCAACCTTACTTTGAAACCCTGTTCCACAAAGCTCTGAATTTGCATACTGCCAACTGGTTCTTGTATCTATCGACACTGCGCTGGTTCCAGATGAGAATAGAAATGATTTTTGTCATCTTCTTCATTGCTGTTACCTTCATTTCCATTTTAACAACAGGTACTACATACTCGTTAACACTTTAGCTAAGCCTGTAAATCTAAACTTATCTTTAAGCAGATTTTTTTGGTCTTATTGTTAAACAAATGATTTCTTTTGAACTTAAGTGTTTTTTGATGAGCAAATAATTTCCCTGTTTTCACCATTTTAAAAAACAACCTGAGACACAGAGAGTGTCAGATAGTAAATCTACGAATGAATGAAAAAAATTCATGCTCATATTAGTACAAGATCTTGGCTTCAAAACTTACAGATATCTCCATTAAAGAACTCTTTGAAGGGCATAAAAGAAATATTTACTTGTGCAGACAGACAGACAGACACACACACACACACACACACACACACTCCTTTCTCTTTCCTTTCTGGTGAGTTTTGCTCCTTTACCCACTAACTAGTGAAATTATTTATCTAATATGAATTTTGCTTGAGGAAAAACACACAGAAGGGAAAAAACTTAGGTGAAAGGGTCATAAACCAGGCATTGGTGGTGCGTGCTAATAATTCCAGCACTCTGGAAGCTGAAGCAGGAGGATCACAACACCAACCTGAGCTACATAGTTAGTTCAAGACCAGCCTGGGTCATAAGGAAACTTTCTCAAAAGAAAGTTGTGTTTTGCAAATACAAAGGTTCTTAATTCAAGGCTTTTTGGGTAAAAAAAAAAAAAAAATTGCATAGTAAGTAAAATAAAAATTTATGTAGATAAAAAGAAGTTCCTTCAGTAAGTTGAATTTTTGAGCTGTAGGAACAGCTGGACAAACATTCAGAGGAAATGCCAAATCAGGGCCAGGCCCGCGGGATTGTCTGGTTGTAAGAACCCCCTGAAGAGGTACCAGTTGGAAGCTGTAGGGGGTCTGAACCTCAGGGCAGGCCACACCTTGGACCCCTACAGGAACCCAGCCCGGCCGAGAGTCAGGCACAGGCATCTTTCTCGTCTCTTGAGCCCCACCACTGACTGCGTCCATTCTTCCCCACGACTGCTTCATTTGTTTCTGCCTGCGATGGGTTTTTTAGCTGGGCGTGGTGGCAGAAGCCTGTAATCACCAGTGAGGCTGAAGCAGGAGGACTGCAAGTTTGAGTTCAGCCTGGGAAACTTAGTGAGATTGTCTCAAAATGAAAAATAAAAAAGATAAGGGAAAAGGCCTTGAGTTTGATCCTCAGTACTGCAACAAACAAACAAGCAAGTTTTCTTGGTGTACCAGGGCCATGTCACACAGACTCTATGTGGGCTCTCAATTCTGGCTCCTTAAGTTAGTAGCAGAATTACTCTGCCTTATTTCAAGGGCCCAGAAGGTAAAGGAAACAGGCTTCTCTTAGCTTAGGGGTCTTCCTGCCATGCGTCTGTATAGCTGCTGTGAGGGTAAGAAAGTGCACACTCACTGTTCTCTCAGCATCTTCAAGCGATGCTGAAGGGTGTAGACACGGGCAGGCAAATTCGTGGGTGTTTACAGTACAGTCATTGCTGCCAACTTTTATAAACTAAAGATGTGTCTTAGAGTCAGAATATTCAAATTTCATCAACCGAGGAATGGATAAAAAAGATGTGGTATTTTTATACAACAGAGTACTACTCATCAATAAAGAAAGATAAATTCGAGGTTTTGTAGGTAAATACTCATAAGTGGAATAAATCAGACCTGCATGCGTAAACATTGTATTGTCTCCCTAGCATAAGAAACTGAAAGAGTAAATAAGATCCAAAAGGTACAACAGGTATACTGAAAGAGAGAGAAACTGCTAAAAAGGAAAGAACTGGGATGGGCAAAAAAGGAAAAGAAGGAAGGGAAAAAAGATATGTACATATACACACAAAATAGCTAAGATTGTAGTTCTAATTCTAAATTGTAGTTCTAATTTCTATCACTTCATTGAAAAAGACAGTGCTTATATTGTTTGATCAGTCTTGCATGCCTGTATCTGGTAGTCCGAGCAACTACTTTGAAGATAACAATATGCACTATAATAACCATTGTTAATTTCCTATCATCTTATTTTGAAATTCTGTATCATTTTTATTATTTTTGTCTCTTTAAAATTTAAAAAACCATTTATTTGAAATAGAATAAAATTGTCAAATTTTTAAAATGAAGATTTGTTAACAATTAATTCACACCAATATATCATACACTGCCACATAATGGATAAGAGTATAACTGAGCCCTGGCTTACCAGGGGCAGTAGCCAAAGCATTTAACCATCCACAGAGCACAGACTCTCCCCGTCAAATCAGATATCCAGCCAGGGTGGGCATGGGCCATCCAGCCAAACCAACCAAGTCTACGGGTCCTCAGCTTTGTAACTTGTAAAAATGAACTTCTCCAAGCCTCTTGTTTTTCCCAGTAATAAAACCTATCTCGTATGTCTGTGGTGAGTATTAAATGTGATAATTTGTATGAAATGCTTTGATACAGTGCCTAATCCACAGTAAATAATCAACACCTTGTCCTTCATGTTTTTATTAAAATTCTACCTTATTTTCACATTAGAAGAAGTAATTATTAGAGCCCTGGATGTATCTTAACTGTTAAAATAACTTATTTAGTACTAAGAAAGCAGACATGTGCTATGGCACATCCTCTTTTAGAGAAAGTGTAAAAAAATATTTGAATTAATCAGATGAATTATTTTTCCCAATTTTTGAATCATAGGAGAGTTTTAGGGAGTTTTGTCATGTACTATAAATGCGAGTAATATCCATTGGGAATTAATAGCCTAAATTTACAATAATTTAAGAACATTCCTCTTACAAAATCTGTATGACCATAAGACCGAGTCCTTAAGAATTTTAATTAGTCATCTCTCGTAACCCTGAAAAACCACTTATTCTAATTAATCACTAAAACATTATTCTTCCCTGGTGAACTAGTGGTTTTGTCTTCCTTCCTTCCCTTTCTTTTCTAACATACTCAGCAATCCTCTCTTTCTAAATGGCAGACGCCTTAGTACTGAAGAACTAGAACCATTTTCTTCCCATCAGCCTCGGATTAGCAAAGAAATTTGTCTTTGCCAAGGTATAAAGCACATCTAAGCATCCTGAAGGTGTTACTCAAAGGCATCCTTGCCCTGTTTTTGACTTTTTATAGAGGAGCTCATCTAGATACAGGGTTTTACAACAAACTTGTATCAAACCAATAGCAACAACTTACTCAATACTTAAAACATATTTTTAAAAAGGTGACTTTTTCCTAATATTCAATCACTCTTTGATTTAAAATATTGATTGCTTGCTTTATAAGGGCGTTATTGCTCCTGTGATGAACTGAGATGGAAAAAAAGATAGTTAAGATCAACATGAAATTGAGCTATAAATTTAATGTAATCTGTCCCAGAGAGGAGGTAACAATAAAGTAGGCCACAGAAATAATAAGAGCTTTATTCCTGTGTTTTTTCCATGTATAGGTGAAGGAGAAGGATCAGTGGGTATTATTCTGACTCTAGCTATGAATATCATGAGTACATTGCAGTGGGCCGTGAACTCCAGCATTGATGTGGACAGCTTGGTAAGTCCATGTTATGTTTTATTATATGAGAATGTAGGTAAGCCAAAAAGCATAGGAACAGTGTAAGGAACAACTGTATATCCAATGCTAGCCTAGGAAGTAGAATGTTACAAATGAGCTGAAGGCCACTGTATACCTCTCTTTAAGCCCATATCACATGCATTCTCCACGTAGAGAGCCGCTGTGCAGGTCCCGTGCTGCGGTGAATGTTCTCACACGTCTCCTTTGAGGGATATTTCTTAGCTCAGATATCTAGAGGTGGAATTGCAGGTGACAGCATTTATGCACAGTTTTACTGGCTGGTACCACATTGCTCTCACCCTGTTATACCAATATATTCTCCCATCACGAAGGTGTAAGAATGCGCATAGCTTTGTAGCTTCAGCTATGATTTCTTTCTCTCAGATGTTAGTTTTGGAAACATGATGGATATAAACTGATTATTGAGAAGACAGGCAGTTTAACACGTACTTGACGGCCATTTGAGCTCTCTTCTATTAACTGTTTGTTTATATACTTGCTATGTTTTCAACTGAACTGATTTTGGATGATTATATAACACTATCATTTCACTTTTTGCTTAAATTTCTTTGTCTTTTCTCTAAGACAGGTCACATGTTCTCAAACCATTTGCATTCACTTAATTATACAACTAGTGTAATCAATTCCTATCAGAACAGAAAGCAATATAAAAATACCTTCAAGGAAAAAGCCTTTTAATATATATTACTTGCCTATGTGTCTTTATATTTTATCAAAGCATTGTAATAACTCATCAAAATGTAATGTAATGTAATGTTAACACGACCTATCAAGTTCGTTTCTTTCCCTTTAATTTCCTAGTTTGACTCCATCTTCTTAGCACCTGCCTTCTTTTCTTCACTTCGTCCTATTTCAGTGTGTTTGGAACTTGTTCTTGTAAACATACATACAAACATTTCTGTTGAAAAGTAGCAGGACAATACTAATATCGCCCTTGCTTTTATTAACTCTGTTCAACTTCCTACAACCTTGATTTTACATTTAAAAATTCTTCTGTACTTTACCTGTTTATTTACATAAAAACATCACTTAACCTTGTACAATTCCTTTCTCTTTACTGTATTAATTTTCTTACTTTATGTACTATCCACCGCACATTGATGTGAAAACCTTTGTTCAGTAGATTTCTTTTCTTCATATCCAATCTCCATGAAAGTTCCCTTAAGGTATTTTCTCTACTCTAGTTTTTCACTTGGGCATCCTGGGCTTTGTGACATGTGCTTTGACATTCTACCTTTCATCTTGTGTTATAAAAGGATTTTAGCAAGGACCCATTATGTTACAATACAATCTGTGAAAAGTATCAATATTTGCATTTGATCTCATTTTTAAAAGTCACGTTCTTTTGTTTGAATATCAAAGTGAATATATGAGTTTTCGTTTCCCTGCCAAACAGCACAAGGGGCCTTTCCTGGGCCTGTGTGGGCATTTATCTAGTTGTTAATACTCATCCTGCTGCTGTCACCTACACAGTTGCTAAAGTTATAAAGTCACTTCGTTATTTTCATCTTGGCATATACTGAGAGTAAGATGGGGAGGCAGACAGAGCTATGCCCTCAGATTTCATGTTGAAATAATGTTCATACCAGAGATCATGTGACTTCTAAAGAAAATTCAATGTGTTATCAGTTTACTTCATTGAGTTTCTGAGTGAACTTAGAGCTGAGTTTAAGATGAAATAAACAAGATACTTTCCCTGATGTACACATTTTTTAAGTGCAGGGCTATTCAGCAGAAAGACTTTTAGAGTTGCAAAGAATATTTCATTCACACCATTTCCCCCAAAATAAGACCTAACCAGAAAATGATCAGCCTTGAAAACTATATTTTATTATAGCATGCATGAAGAATAAAACATTGACAGAACTCTGAAGCTATAAAAATGGCAATATAACTTTTTTGACATTACTGGGGATGGAACCCAGGGCCCCACAGCCTACCAGGGAGCTATATTCTTAGCCATTTTTAAGGTTTTTTACTTTGAGATGGTGTTGCTAAATTCCCAAGTGGAGCTCAAACGTGCAGTTCTCCTGCCTCAGGCTCCTGAGTAGCTGAGATTGCAGGTATGAAAGCCTCTTCCTGTGTAGTGCGGATTTTCTTTTACCTCCCACCTGTTACTTACACCCAGGTGCCTAGATTTCTTTGGCTTTCAACCAGTCAAGGTAATATTTGTGTGATAACACTTCATTGCTGTCTCAAGTTACTTTGTATTTATGATCATACATCTCAAATACCAGCATTCAGAGCTCCAACAACGCTTTCATTACGTTGTCCTGCTAAATTCTTTATTTTATTCCCCAAAACAGCTCATTTCCTTCCTCTTGTTTGCTGTTAAATGCCCCAATGTTTTCGACCCCGATATCTTTGGCTACCTGCCCCATAGAAATAAATAGTTTCAACCACAGACAGTTCCCTCACCTACCCCCACCAGATGCACCTGTCGCCCTGTGCTCAAATAGCCCCTCCCCCTCTGTGTCCTTGCTCCTGTACATGCCAATAATTCGCAGCTGTCCTTGGACTTTCTCACTAGCATAAAAATGTTCTCCCGTCTCCCATCCCATTTCTTTTACCTATTTAAAGCAAAACTCCCTGAGAGTGTCTCTCTCCATTCCCTTCTCCCATTCTTTCTGCAGCCTGATTTTGAATTGCATTTCATTACCCATTTGACCCATAACCAACACCTTGCTAAAGCCAATATCCTTGCAGGATTTTCCATGGACCAGTGCTGGAGCTACTTCCACCTCGTGTGCATGCCCCTCCTGTTTCTTCCTTAGTCCCTTTTGCTGGTTCTGTTCCCCCTCTAAGTGTTGAAACATTAGCTCAGTTGCATTCTTTCTCGCTGTTGTTAGATGACCGCGTACTTCCGAAACAGTCTCTGGATGAATCGTAAATTCCCATCTTCAGTGCAGACCTCTCTTCTGACCTCTAAAATACGTCCAACTACCATTTGATACCTCCATGTTCATAGAACACAGTGATAAAGTCTCTCCTAGTAGACTTGACATTTTAGGACATAAATTCTTATATAATACCTCCTCAAAATATACCCAGCATCATAAGAGACCATTAGAATGAGACAAACTTCTACCCTCCCTACTGTTTTGTCTGGAAGGTTAAATAAATAAATGAAGCAAGAGCCAGAGTGGGCGCCACTGGTGGTGTTTCAGGGTTAGCGACATCAAGCAACCTGATGACTAACAGATTGCTCAGAACCCCTCATTACCCTCCTTGAGTGAGGCAGTTGGCAGTTGATGTCTTTCCATGACTCTCCCACAGAGTGAGCACAACTAAAGTAGCCTCAGCAAGGGAATGGTATCTTGCTTCCTTAGTTTCCAAGTGAAGCAGTAGGCGGCCATCTCAGTTTCCAGTAGATCTCTGCCCTGTTGAACGGTGTGTCTCTCGTACAGCAAGAGGAAGGGAGCCACTGGGACGAGTTGGCAGGACGGGAACCTCAGGGGTGAGCATTTGGATCCCAGTTAATGAGGCTCCAAAGGTTTTTGCATGGTTGATGTAATCTGAGAAGAGTTTTCTGTCAATAGAAACTCCTCTGTTTTTACTTTGTCCTGTCATTGCCTGTGTTTATTTTGGGTTCCAGTAAAGATCAAGTGACTGATTGTACAGTGACCAACATGAAACCTACTGGGAGGAGAAAAGGGAAATCTGGCTCTTTTTTCACGGATCCTCATGCTTAATGCTCTTGCACTAAGAGCAGTTTCTATTGTAAGAATGTGAAAGGACTCATTTTTCTTTGCGTTCTTTTGCCTCCTTTTGTGGTCTGTTAATCTTGTCTCTGTCTTTATGCTCCTGTGAGTCTCTGCGGTGTGTTTTCCTCTCGTGACCTCCCGTCTTCCCAGCCAGCCATTCTCTTTCCAGTGTGGGAGCTGCTGTGGTCGGGGCAGCCTGGCCTTCCCTCCCAGCCTTGCCACTGAAAAGTGGTGTGACTTTAGCCAAGTCATTTTTCCCATCGGTAAAAGGAAACAGTTTGGTTAGGAATTTAATGTCTGCCAGCTCTGAGACTGTCTCTCCCTGGACTGTTTGTGTGGAGGACTTCGGTGCTTGATTAGCACATATGCATCATCCCGGGGCCTCCATAAAAACCACACCCCTCCCTGTCCCTGGATGCTGAAAGCCACTAGGTAAGTTACGCATCACTGCAATGATCAGAGCTCATCCAAGAACTCCTCATGATGATATGTGTCACTGGCACCAAGAAAGAAAATAAGCATGTTTTGATGTTCTGGATTCTTGAATTAGTACAGGAGACTGCAGACTTTGCTGGGGTCTAAAAATTTTAGGAGAGTTCCGAAAATTCATCAGATTTGTGCTAGTGGCTTTAACTTCCTGGGTTCAGATTTCCTCATTTGTGTAAATGAAGGAGTGGATTAGACCACAGGTTCTCAACCTGGAGGCACACAAAGCAAGATTACTCTAGATTTACTGGGATCAATGAGATCCGTTCTGTTGGTGGGAACAGGGGGACCTGGCATAGTGCTTATGTTTCCTAAAGTGCTGGAAGTGATTCTAACGTGTATTCCAGGCTCGTGAAACACTGTTTAGATGCTTCCTGTGTTCATCTTTCTGTGAGTTAGGGGAGGAGGGTCAACAAGCTTTTCCTGTTAGGGTGACGTAGGAAATACTTGCAGCGTCGTGAGCCGTGAGGCCTCGTGGCTGGTGGTGACCACTCGGCTCCGTCTTGGCAGGGCACAGCAGCCTTGACCACAGGTAAAGAGCGGGTGTGGCTGGATGTAGTTCACGGGCATAATTCTGCTGACGCCTGGTCTCCTGGGTATAACTTGCTTTTGAATTGAAGGACCACCAATAAGCCAATTTGTCTCTATACCAATGATACGTACATAAATATTCACAAGACATGGAAAAGATGGTCCTTAATAACAGACTACATGGGGAAGCCACAACATCTGAAAATATTCAGCAGGACTTTTGAATCCTAGTAAAATTAAATAATAAACCCAAGAGTTCAAGAGATGATTTTCAATCAAAGCTTTCACCTCATTTTTGGCCACATTCCAATTTTATAGAATTGTACAGAATTTTAATAAATTGCTTCAAATTTCTCACTCCACAAATGAAGAGTAGGTTCAGTGTTTCAGAGCTTACTCAGTCTTTTATTTCTTAAAGTCTAAGAAAGATCCTACTGCCTCGCCTGGTGGTAACTACCAGGAGACTCGCCCCATCAAAGGGGCGATGGCAACCCTGCGCTCCTCAGATGATTCTCTTCTTTGCGCAGGAGGCAGCAGGAAGGAGTTGGTCAGTCTAGATCAGTGACGGCAAACCTGGTAGCGACTGAGTGTGCACACCACAGCCCCAAACCCTCTTATGTACTGCAAAGTGCCAACACTGCACTCAAACCTGCACATCCGATGCTCAGCTGCTGGCAGTGCTGGTGACTTGGCTCCCATGCCAGCAGAGCAGGCTGTGAGTGCCTGGTGTGATGCACGTGCCATAGGTTTGCCACCACTGGTCTAAAATAGGTCTGATAATTGCCAGTTCTGAATTTCCATCTAGCACAGTCCAGGGGGCTGAGCAATGACCTGGTGGTTTTTACATCCACATCATGTGAAAATATGGACATTCTAAAAAGAGATTAGGTGAGGGTAGAAGGCTCAACAGAAACAAATAGACAGGACTAAAAGTAGTTAGGTATGGTGTAAACGTCATCTAATCCAAGAGCAATGTATATTTTCAGGCTAAGAGTCCTAGGGGTAAAATTGCAGCTCAGAGCACGTGCGGTGCTGTCTTCACAGCACTGCCGTTCCCACTGCCCAGACAGCGCCCGCTACACAGGACATAGAACAACACGGGCATTCACGTCAGCGAGGCCTGATTAAGTGACTGCACGACACTAAGCACTGGAGAGCAGTGCTTTAAATGTTCCATTGTTTGAATACAAGGAATGCTTTGAACAAATTACTGTAATAGGCGGGATGGGTTTATCATCAAGCCCATGAGACACAAGCTTCAGGTCTCTTACTTGCATGAATGCCTCTGGAGGTCCTGTACCTAAATTTAAATGTGGATTCTTTTTCTGAAGAATCCCCTAAATGATCTAAGCTTTGGGCTCGTAAAGCCTGGATAAATTTCTGGTAGCAGCTACAAATCTTTGATCATGAAATCAAATTTGTAAGAAAAGTGACTTCAGCTTGGCTATTACTGAATTTATGTGCTGTTTGAACATACATTGCACTGAAAGTTTCTCTACGGCATGCCTCTTTCCCGGTCTTACCTTGGAATTTTTATTTTTTTGTCTTTTTGAGACAGGGTCTCTCTATACAGTTCAGACTGGCCTTGACCTCACTTTGTGACCCAGGCTGCTCTCGAACTCACAACGATCCTCCTGCCTCAGCTTCCCGAGTGCTGGGATTACAGGCGTGCGCCACCACATTTGGCTTCCCTTGGAACTGAAACAGGGTCCCCTGTGTTTTAAAGTCCTCCATATCTATCACTTAGGACAGAACCAGAGTTCAGTTGTCAGATAGTAAAGATGGTGCTCCTTTCTAGAAGAACTGGTGGATAATATGCCTTCTAGTTACCCTCATTTGGTAGCCTCTCTTGAGTCAAAATGCACAGAGAAGAGTAACTGTAGCTATCATTTTTGTATAAACACTATGCTATGCATTGAGTTGGGCTTTTTTTCCTCAGATACAAGGTCTTGCTGTATTCCTCAGGGTTGATTTAAACTGATGGGTTTGAATGACTGTCCTGCCTCAGCCTACTGAGGAGCTGAGGCTAGAGGCATATATCTGGTTTGAGTATTGGGTTTTGAAGCTTAAAAGCCAGTATCCATACATCTTGAAACTGTCAAACTATTAGTAGCTCATTTAAGTTTCAAGGAATAATTTTTGCAACTTGAAAGACCAGAACTGATATTCTCTGCAATGGTTGTAATTTCTCCACCCAGAGGCAACAGAGGGAGAAGTCCAAGCTGAGAGCCTGTGAGATATAAGGAATTGGTTAGTTAGTCATAACATCAGCTGGCCACATTGTCTGTTCAGTAATGGCATTTCAGTGGCTGCAAAACTAACCATGATGCAGACGTCTGCACGGGCCGCCTTTTCTTCCTGTCAGAAACTGTTCTAACTCACTGATTTGAATGAATGTGTGCTCGTATGCCACGGATCGGCGCCCATTGTGAAGTGACATGTACTTGGTCAGGGATATCTGACCATGCCGGGAAGGAACTACACAAATAGGTCTCGGGGTCACTTTAAACAGCCACAGGATGAGAAGGATGAGAAGCGACAAGTTTCATTTTCTAACTTGGGAGGAACGTTGCGTTTTGCACATTTGACATTAAAAGTTCAGGGTTCACCCTCAGCAGTGAGCCTCACTAATGGAGAATATAACTTACAGTGCTCAAACAGAAGTCCTGGGCTGAAAAACAAACAAACAAACAAAAAACGCTAGAAATTGTATATTGCCTTTCAATCTGATAAAGTAGTGGTTCTGAGAATCTCTCTTTTCTAATAACACTGAGTACAATTTTGAGTAGTTTAGACAGCAATATTTAGGTGTTGCATTGATTAGAATATTAAAAGGTGAAGAACTGTTCTAGAGCATCTTCCTTGGTATACTGCAGCACTTAGCAAAGACAGAATTCTTCACAGGACTGACATACAGAAATAACTATTTTATAAAGTTTAGCAACCTTTGTGCATTTCTTGAAATCCTTTCAAGGAAGAGATGCTATTCTTATGCAGGAGAAATACAGAAAGATGTGTTAAATACATTTGAGCTAGTTCTCTGTGATTTCCATCTTGGGGATAATAGCAGTTGTGATTTATCTTCCAGTCCTTCTTTATGAAAGTTTATGACAGTGAAGTGCAAGAGAATGACTTAATTCAAAATTAATCAAGAATAACTGAATCAAGATTTAACAACTCTTCGAAGTCATTCATAATTCAAAATTTAAAATATTACATGTGGGAACAATTGTAATTATATTCTCTTTGCTTCCTCTGGAGTTACTTATGAGGGTTGTCATCTTTGAGTCTTTTAAATTTCCTTTAACAGCAGGTTTAACTTTAAAGAATGCCCTTAAGTCTTAAATGGTTATTGGAGATACTTTGAAGATATTTCCAAGGGGAAGGAAACAGAAATATAGGATCATTTGAAAGAATAAAGAAGTTCGTAACCACAGCAGGCCTGACCAATGAAAACAGACATTGAAGCTAGGATTGCTAAAATGAACCTTCAGCATTTAGTTGAGAATCAGTATCAAAACTTCTCTGCTTCATTCCATAATAAAGACAAACAATTTTTCTAATTTCACTTTTCAGTAATGAAAAATAGAAATAATAGAAACAAATTCCTGAAGTGCATTTCTGCCTACCTTTTCTTATTCACAAAGAATTACCTCTAAAAGTCTTAGCTATAAACAAGTGATAATATTGAAAAGAAGGATAGTTAAAGTTCTTGACCAAATAAAGTTAACATCAGTAGTTGCTATTTAGACTCAAAAAAGCAATAACGTTTTGTCCTGTAAGCTATGAACAGGTGAGGAGTGTTGAAGTGTCGATCAGGATGCTAATCTTCAACCTCTTTCTTGTCATTTATTTTATCTATATTTTCTCATTCATATTTTCATTCATTCATTTATTAATCATTCAAATACCTGTTGAGCTCCTGTTATATGCCAGACTGTTTTAAAAATCATAGTCTAAATTCTAATAAATAATAAACTTTCAGAGAAGTATTTTTGTTATAGAATTCAACTAAACACTTCAAAAAATTTGAGCTCTTTTATTGCTGTGCACATCTTATTATATTATACCAATATAATATACCAATATTATACCAATAGAAATCTATAAATCAGATAAATATTTAATTTCAAAGTCACATTTTGCTCCTCATTGGAAATAAATATTCAGTTAACTTGGATTAGAATGAAACTATTTAACTGCAGATATACCAATGATTTTTATTTTCCAGTATGTGAAATTGAACCCAGGGCCTTTGCAGTGAAGTACATTTCCAGCCCTTTTTACTTTTTATTTTGAGACAGGTTTCACTAAGTCATTAAATTGCCAGTGCTGAACTTGAACATATGATTCTCCTGCCTCAGCCTCCCAGAGTGCTGGGTTTACAGTTGTCTGCCACCACACCTGGCTTGCTAACGCCTTAAATTTCAGGCTTATTAGGATGTTACTTAAAATTGACTAAGCATCAAAGGTCCACTTACTACCTAGCTGATATATAGAACTGCATGTAGTTATTAACATAGTTATAGTTATTAACATAGTTCAAGAGAAAGGCAAGAAGTGCATTTTATTATAACATTGTACACTGCTGATCATAGTAGGAAACAATTCCCTTTGACATCATCTATTCTCTTAAGAATAGTTGGACTATTTGTGTGGCTTGTGTAACTAAGAATTAAGTGATCACAAAAACAGGTCTGTAGCCATTTATATAAGTCTTAGTTAATTCTCGTCGGTTAAGCTTTTAATTATATCCAATTACTTTCTGTTCACTGAAAAACCTGCAAAATAACTGAGCAAGGTGTAGCCTGCGTCATAACTTATAAGTCATGATTTTTAAGGAACGTCACACTAATTACGGCACCGTCTGCAACTCTTAAATTAAAAGTGTTATTTTCATTTCAGATGCGATCTGTGAGCCGAGTCTTTAAGTTTATCGACATGCCAAAAGAAGGTGCACCTGCCAGTTCCCTCAAGCCATCTAGGGATGACCAGCTCTCAAAAGTGATGATCATTGAGAACCAGCACGTGAAGAAAGATGACGTCTGGCCCTCAGGAGGCCAAATGACCGTCAAAGACCTCACAGCGAAATACGTGGATGGCGGCAGTGCCATATTAGAGAACATTTCCTTCTCAATAAGTCCTGGCCAGAGGGTGAGATATAAACGTTGCTCCTTTTGTCCGTGCCTTGCTCAGTGGATCCCAGCAGCCCGGAACAGTGCGTTGGCAGAGTCTGTTTGTAGCACTATTATTATACACTAGGACCAATACCAAATATACGTATTTCAAGTTGTCATTATATGGAGTTATTATATTGCATATAAAATAAACAGCAGAGTCCTGACTCTATGAATAGGCTCACTTTAAATGTGATAGTGCTTGCAGAATATTGAATTAAGTACTAGTTTACCATCCATAGAGGCTGTTCCATAAATTGAATATTTTAAGTTTCCCATCTTGAAAATATCTTCCAATAAGGTGAATATTTTATTGCTGCTTCCATCATTAAAATCTTCTTTAATTTTGTCTGATTAAGAGTGGTGCTTTTTTTTAGGCCTCTTTTTTTTGATCTTCCATAAAGATATAATTTTTCCAACTTTTTGACTAAGCAGAAATCATGGAAAATAGTTATTAAGCAATAATTTTGTTACTAAGCAATAATTTCATCACTTATAAAATAAATATCTATGCATTATTTTGAAGCGTTTCTTATACTATAGATCCCAGCACCATGTTGGACATAGAAAGAACTTATATAGAGATTTTTTTGAAATTATTTTTGGAGAAGTGTTTTTTCTTTACCTCATGTGTTATACCTAGTTTTATATTGTATTGAAATCCTTTGTTCTGGTTCACTTTATAATGCTAGAGAGGAGTATCATATATTTTTACTGATTTAAAAAATTGAAATACTATTAAAAATAGCCATGCCTTGAAAAAACTGAATTTTAAACCTTATCCCTTTGTGGTTAATTTCAAGTAGAGATTCTGAGATATTGAGATACTGTTAGGAAAGATAGTAAGCTACCAATATTAACACAGGCATAGAAACAGAAAATTACCATTTACTTCTTGGAATATTTGATAAACATTGACTGCACTGGGCCAAATTCTACTTTTAAAAAGAATAGGGTAAGGAAAACAGTGCCGTGCAAAGTACTTAAGAATGGAACACTAGAAACTTTGACTCGTCTTTGTGACTTAGGGTAATTTCACATGTCACTAAAATTGACACTGTTGGTTGTTGTTGATGTGCTGCTGTTGCTGATCAAGAATGGGATTTATTGTTTCTATTCCTGAGGAGAAACAGTCTTAAGTTGGGCGTAAGTGGAAAGATTTTACTTGTTAGATTGATTTGCCCCTAGTATTAGCGTCTGTGTGCATATATATATATATATATGTTTTTAGGTTGTGTTAAGAGCCCTCATGAAACCCTTGAAAATTTTTAACATTTTAGTTTTGTCGTTTGAATGTGAGGAAATGTTAGCGATGCTTTGGAGCTACGTTAAAGCGATGGTCTGCCTTGGCTCCTCCCTTGCATTGGAAAGAGCGCGATGCCTGGCTGTTCTCCTTCGCACGGCATGAACCACAGGGAGCTCAGACGTGTCCTCCTAGGGTCCCCAGGACGGAAGCCAGAGGTGCAGTCACAGCTCCAGAGCACCCCTACAAGTGGGCTGATGTGGGGCAGATAGAAAAGCCTCGATGAGTTACCCTCTCCAACGTGGTCGACCTTTATCCATCCCTTTATTAATCCATGTGAGGCTTTACATTTAAGTGGACTTCTTGTAGACAACATGTTGTGGGGTTGTATTTTTTGATCCACTGTGCCAATCTTTGTCTTTTAATTGATGTATTTAGATGTTGGTGTGTAAAGTGGTTATTGACACAGTGGGGTTAATATCTACCCTGTCTGTTACTGTTTTTACACTGTGGCTTCATTTGAGAATTTTATGATACCATTTTTTTCTCCCTTCTTCGAATAGTAGCTTTTTTGACTTTTTTAGTGGTTTCCCCAGAGTTTGCATATACATATTTTTAAATTTTAAAGAGAGAAAAAAACAATACAGAATTTTAAAACTAGATGTTAGGAAATTAACAATGGTTGCTATATTGCATATTGTTATCTTCAAAGTGGTTGCTCATATTACCAGATACAAGCCTGCAAAATTGATCAAACAATAAGCACTAACTTGCAATATACATTTATGACTTAACCCCAGTTCATTTTCATATACTACTCTTATAGTTTCATGGGTAGTGTAAGTACTTTACAGTAAAATATTCTCGGATCCTCTGTCTTGTCCCTTGTATTCTTGCTAGGATTCATTTCCTTTGTTGTATATGGATATATAACAAATACATACATCATATGTATGTACCAGCAAATGCATTGTTACTATATTTTGAGCAGTCTTCCGTTAGATCAGTTAAAAATAAGAAAAAGTTCTCATTTTGCCTTCATTTATTCTTGATAGTCTTCTGTTATGGGTCCAGCCTTTGACCTTTATATACATTCTTTCTTTAACTTTCAGTTTATTAGCGCATGCTCACAGTACACAAAGACTACACCCAGCGTGGGAGTTGCTACATGCACCGAACAGCCTTAGCTCTTCTCGCTCCTTCTTTTCCTCCCCTCTTCTCCCTCCCGCTGCTTTGTGGTCCCCTGGTCGTTTGCAAAGTATCCATCGGAGTTTCCCTTCCTTTGCTCTGAAGAACTTCTGTTAGGGTTTCTTTGAAGAGGGCCCGATGGTGCCTTCCCTTAATTTTTGTTTGTCTGATAAATTCTTATTTTGCTTTCAGTTTTGGAAGACAATTTCATGGAATACAGAATTTTAGTTTGATTTTTTTTCCTACTCTGAACACTTTAAATGTTTTACTACACTCATTTCTTATTTTTTATTTTAATTTTGTTTAGACAAGACCTCGCTATGTAGTCCAGGCTCGACTTGAACTCACTGTGTGCCTCACGGGCCTCTCAGCATTTTGGGAACACAGTTTACAGGCTTGAACCACTATGCGTAGCTCTCCACTTCTTTCTTGATTACACAGCTTCAGAGACATTGGATGGGATTTCTTCCTGGACTTTTTTTTAGACAGGGTCTCGCTATGTAGTACAGGCTGGCCTTGAACTCACTATGTAACTTAAACTGGCCTCAAACTCACAGTGATCCTCCTGCCTTGGCCTCAAGTGCTGGGATTACACGGGTGCACTACCATGCCCGGCCTTCCTTGATTTTTTATAGACAATATATTTTTTCCCCTCTGGGTTCTTTCAAGATGTTTTTATCTCTTATAGTTTTGAATTTTTCACATGATTCTGCTTGGTTTTCTCTGGATATGAGGTATGGTACTTAACCCTCATTTGGAGAAATTCCTAGTCACTGATGTTTCACGTATTTCTTCTGTTCTCTTTTCTTCTTGTTCTCCCTCCCATGTATTCCCATTGCAGATGAGCTGCGCTTTTTGTAGTTGTGTCACAGTTCTTGAATATTCTCTCTTTTTTTCTTTTTTCAGTCTTTCCATCTTTGGTTTTCAGCATTGGAAGTTTTTATTGCTTCATCCTCAGGCTGTGATTTTTCTTTCAGCCACTTGCAGTCTCCCTAGGAGGTCACACAGGAATTCTTCATTTTTCTCACGGTGTTTTTAATCTGCAGAATTTCTTTTTATTCAGCCGTAGAATTTCCCACTCTTCTATTTATATTATTTATCTGGTTTAGCATGTTGTCTGTTTTTCTCATTAAAACCTGCATCATATTAGTCATAGCTGTTTTAAATTCTCAGTCTAATTCCAATCTGGTGTGTCTAACCCTGGTGCTGATGCTTGTTCTGTGTTTTCAAGTTATTTATTTCATTTTCTGCCCTACACTGTGTTTTGTAATTTTTTTCTGAGAGGTAGACACGACGTGCTACATAAAACGAGCTGTGCTAAGTATGTCTTTAGTAATGCAGACGTAAGGTACTGAAGGGCAGGGCAGTGTTCTGTGGACCTGTGGTTACGTCTTAGATTCTCAGAGAACCTGCCCCCCAGGACCAGGAACTTAACAAGAGCTGCTCAGGGTTTTCACCTCCTTAGGTGGGACACAACGGCTAGAGCTGGGGCAGAGTATTTCCCTTCTCTTACATCAGTTGGGCTCTGCAAAAAATTTCTAATAAAGTAGACCTGGCAAATTAGTTAAGGGCTAGGCCTGGTTAAAAAGAGGAGAATGGGTCAGTCTACTTTAAAATGACTGGTTACATTCCCCCCGCTTTTGCATGAAGTATGGAAGAGTTTTCCTCTGACTTTCACAGTGAGAGCGTGGTAAGGCTAGATGATAAATTGAGAAAACTTTGGAGGTCCCTCGCAACTGGGCACCCCTGGAACTGCTTTGCTCTCCGAGTCCTCAACCCTTAGACCCCATCCATTTGTCAGTTACAGTTAGGGTCTCCCCCTCTGGGTTCCCTCAGAATTTTCTACTTGGTGGTTTCTGTTTGGTAAGTTGCGGTTTGCTGTATCTGTTTGTCTGTCTTTAGTTTTGGGAGACAGTGTTTTGACTGAGACCTTGCTTCCTGTCAGACCCAAGGAAAGTTATTTATTTTTCAGTTCACTCACCTTTATATTTGTTAAGATATAGCACTGCTTGCTAGTGCCCCACTTGTCAGACTGGAATCTGGAAGTCCTGCTTTTTAATTGTTTTATCTTTTTGCTGACCACTCTGTGTAGCTCAATAAATTTTAAATGAATGAGTGGATGGATGGACGAATGAATGGCTTGAATCAACTTTTAGATTGTAGGGTTCCTTAGAGTAGAAATTTATTCTTCTAAAGCCATCCTTACCAACATCTTGCTGACTGTGCTCCAAATGTATTTCCTATATGCAAAGAGATTCAAAATTAGTATATTAGTAGACAAAAACCCAGCTAAGAATTAATTACTCTTCTTGGTGAAAAAAGTATGTGAAAATTCATAGTTTAAATGGACATCTCTTTAAAGTTTTAATGGATTTCAATGTTCTTGGATATAAGGGGAATACAAGAAAAGAACCAATATTTTGTGAAGAAAAATTATTCAATCTTTATATTTAAACACTTTGTCCAGAGATAGGGATATACTCAGCAGCACAAGTGCCTGCCTGGCAAGTGCAAGGTCCTGAGTTAGATTCCTGGTACCAAAAAAACCCTACTTTGTCCATAACAGTTACTTTAGGAGAGATATGTCTTATTACTTTAGTTGCTCTTAATTGAAATTTAAATTATAAGCTCTTAATTATGCTTCAAAAAATTTTTTTCAATGCTTGAGAAATGTAGCAAATACTTCCCCCTATTACCCTAAGGAAATCTATTTTTGTTTTCAATCTCAAAGACCTTTATTTGTTTATATTTTAATATCCAGATCACCAATTCCCAAATAGAATATCTAGCTCTTCCTTTCCTTTTTCTTCTCAAAATTTAGGCAGCAATTTTAATTGGAGTCATATCCTCATGATAAACCTGGACTTATCAAAATTCTTCCGATTGTATGTTGTTTATGTCATGGTATTGAACAGCCCTGTGGTTATTCACACAAATGTATAATAGTGCCTCAAGATCTGTCATTTTTGGTAATTGTAGCTGATTTCTCTAGTTATACTCCCTACAAGACACTGCAGTTCCAGAAATTATTTGTAGGAATATCAAGATTTCAGATCAAATCAGCACAAACATCCAAATGCCTCTTTGATTTGTTAAACACATATCTCATTTCTGCCTTGCTAAAAATTGGTATGAAGTAGCTGAATCATTCAATTTGAAGTGCATATATTTCATTAATTGTAAATAGATACACGGGCTTATAGAAAGTTCAATTATAATTACATTGTGGATCTAATTTCACATGATTTGGCATCTTGATTTTTGGAGCTCACAGGAAATGAAAAATAATTGCACTAGGTTTCCATCTGTTGAAGTATTAAAATGACAAGTAAGACACTGAAAGTAATGTACTTTGTTCTATTCAGGGAACAATGCGATTACAGTTAGTACCAAACTCTACACTATGCAACTGTCCACTTAATAGTGCAGTTTATCTTGATTCAAAATACCAAGGGAGGAGTTGCACTGAAGTTACTAGAAAACACTGACTTGGAATTAGGATGTATCTCAAAATCTGACTTTGTTGGCTACAAACCAGTGAGATTCCTTGTTATTGGAAAAGTTGTCAGACATAATGCATTACCACCAATTTGGTGATATAAAAGGAACTAAAGATTTCAGTATTTGCTTTTGAAGGAAGGGCAATGTGGTCATTTATCTTACTCACTAGAACCTTGATTAATCATATAGAGATTTAGAACTCAGAGCACTTTTTTACCATAAATTATTTATATGAATTTAAAACAAATAATTTTTATCTATTGTACTTTTTTCTCTTCCCTTCCCCTTATATCTCACCAACACTGGGAATAATCGATATTTATCTGAAAGCTTACTCATTCTATTTGAAAAATAATGACATATGATGAGCGTTTGTACAATATTGGCTAGTTGGAAATGTGCCTATGAAATTCCATGGGATTTTTTGTGGATGTGTGTGTGCTCAGTGTTACACCTGGGACTCACATCTGCCAGGCAAGCTGTGTACCACTGAACCACACCCTCAGCCCATCCATAAGACTTTCGATTAAGAATTCATCTCACGAGGGATGCATCTCAGTGGTAGACCACTTGCCCAGTATATACAAAGTCCTAGGCTCTATCCTCACCATACCCCCAGTAAAGAGTTGATTTGGTAATTGATCAAAATTAGCTAAATCCACTTATTTGTGAAGTTAACTAAATATATAAGTTCACTCATCTGCTCATCCTTCTGTGCATCCATCCATCCTTCCATCTGAGTATTCTCCAGTCAATCCAAATGAGTATTTATCGAGAACTTTATGTAAGTCAACCTTGGTGCCAGAGAATGGAAAGTAAGACAGACTCCTTACCTTTGTTACATTTAGATTCTTAGGGTAAACACAAAAAATACTCAAGAAAAAATAAGCAAACTAATTACTACTTATAATTAGTACTATGAAGTATCTCAACATGGTGTTATGCATAACCTTTGATGGATCTGCTTTTCTCAGTAGTTGAAGAGAACAGATATTTTGGAAAGACCCAGAACAGAGCTCTTATGATGGCCACAGTCACTGTCATTATTATCAGCTCATCCAAAGGCTTAGTTTACTACCAACTAGAAATTATAGTGCATTTATTGGGGTCTATGCACTGGTTCCATGAAATAAGTACAATATTTGCTTGCCTCAGGCATCATTCCATCACTTTTATCCAACAGGTGGGCCTCTTGGGAAGAACTGGATCAGGGAAAAGTACTTTGTTATCAGCTTTTTTGAGACTGCTGAACACCAAAGGTGAAATCCAGATTGATGGTGTGTCTTGGGACTCAACAACTTTGCAACAGTGGAGGAAAGCCTTTGGAGTGATACCACAGGTAAGCAAAAAGATGTTGCCAGATATATTTAAAAATTATTTCTCACCAGGTAGGACAGCACACTCCTGCAACCTCAGCACTCAGGAGGCTGAGACTAGAGTTTGAAGCCAGCCTAGACTGCACAGTGGGTTCAAGTCCAGTCTGGAGGACATAGCAAGACCCTGTCTCAAAGACCCAAAACAAACCAAAATTATTTCTGTTGGCAGTGCTGAGAATCAGACTCAGCATCTCGCGAATGTTCGGCGGGTGCTCTGTCACTGAGCTATCCCCAAATCAACGTCTTTACCACTATTAACACTCGCACGCAAAAAATTCACATTACTCTGCAAAATATATGCGGTGTGCATTGCTGTCTTTTTTCAGCAAAGCCAGGGAAAACGTCGCGGGGAGTAAAATGACTCTAAAAGTGTGTAATTTTGTGTGACATACAATTACTAACATGTTTGAAGTTTTAATAAGCGGTGCTCAGAAAACACAATCTGTATGTCGCACAAGCCTGGGGCCTTTGTTTTTAGCAGCTTTTTCTTTTCCGCTTCAGTGGTCTGAACTCCAAGTTTGCAATCACAGCAGGTTGAGAAATGCTTTACAAAACATAAAAGATGCTTCCATAGCAATGGAGATCGGGAAGCATGAGGTAGTAGAATTGAAAATAGAAAATGTAAAGATTGTTTTCTATCTTTGGAAAAGAAAAACGGTGTCAGACTAACCTGTAGTCTTTTATTTTTAATGTTACTCTTTGATTTGGGTCACAAAGAGTCTTCACCTTCACTGGCTTAGTACCTTTCTCTGTGTGTTACTGTGCAAGTGGACCCCTTGTACACAAGGGAAGTAGCAACAGTCTCCAGTTTAAGAGAATCTAAAGAAAAGGTATTTGCTCTGTTTCTGCTGACATTTGCTCTCATCTCTGTGGGTATTTTCATCGCTTGAATGATCATTTTTCTCCCTCTGTACTAAAAAGCATGGAATCTATTCTACTAACATGGTTCTTTCTAACAATCATCTACATTTAACACGAAATTAAAATGCCAAGAGCATTTCTAGGTGGACTGACTGCAAGTCTAGGCAGAGAAAAATGCTTGTATTTTTCGATTCACCTTTGTGAAACATTTGCTCCTTTCAGCTGAGACACTAAATATTGTAACTGCTAAACTGATGCCTTTAATTCATTCGTCTAGACTTTTCCATGTTGCCAGAAGCTTAATCTTGGCTGGAGTTTTGAAAACAAGAACAAAGGTATTGTCAGATGGTCTAAAGATAAAGAAGCATTAGGGATGCAAGTATCCCGAGGTGATAGCGTCCAGCAAAATAAAAATGCTGAGGAACATGGCATAGAACCTGGTTGCCACAGAAGTTTAACCTGCCTTCTGGGTCCGTTTTTAACTAACGACAATGACGCTTTGAGTTTGTTGTCGTTCTTGTTCTTGCCCACACAGATCTGTCCGTTAGAATAATCCAAGCTCTCAGAGTTAATTTCAGTTTCACTGGGAATCTTTTAGTTTATCTGCCATGTAGTTGAGAGATTTTTGTCTTCTTGCAAGCTCTACTTAGGAACCTAAATATGTAAGAGCTAAAGGAACCAAGCAGGATAGAGCTATGAGAAAATTTATCTTGCTTTTCTGCTCAAATGAACCTTTCAGACTTGCCTGTCATTTCCTTCTACTATGACTTCAAGGTTTATATAAACCAGAGAAGAAATACTTTCAGAGATTCCTTCAAATGCTAATGATGCCACTGCAGATGCTTCTCACAAGCGGGTGTGTGACTTGGCGTCTGGGGCCGACTCTCAGTAGCACGAGCACATCTGCTGACACAATGTACTGTTTCTTCACAGCATCTTTTGATGATTATGTGAATGCTTCAGAAAGAGAGAAAGAGAACAAAATCATATGTTTCTGATGTCTAAGCTAAGGGATATTTATTTTCTCTTAGAAAATTCAAATTTTAAAAATAATCTCTTTTCCTGGAGTTTGATCTTTAAAAAGAAAAAATAAAGGAAGAGGGAATAAGATATCCAAGGAGAGCTGATTTTGTTTGCTTTTCATCGTTTTCTTTCTCCTCTCTCCCACGTCTCGCAAGGGAGCAGTTCTGGAGATCTCTGCCACTGGACTGTCACAGAGCTCTGGTCACAGGTTTTCAGACACATGAAGCAGGAACTCTGAACAAAAGGCTTCCTCTCTCTCTTAACATCATCCTTTAGCTGCGCATCCACAAGATGCTGGTAGTTTTTGTTTTTGTTTCTGTGTGTGTGTGTGTATTGTGTTTTTTTCTAAATTCATCCCTCCCACAACTAGAAAGCAATCTTGGAGAACAAGCCAGTCTGGAAAATAAGCTATTGTGTGCACTTCAAGGTGGAAATTCCACGAATTTACTCTGTGTTGCCTGTGAGCTGAGGGGATGAAGGCAGCAAGGAGGTTTATAGTCAGAGCCCTGCTGGTTTAAGCAGTTCCAAACACCAAGACAGAAGATCAGTCACTAGCATTGAACCCTGTTGGGCATTTCACTCATGAAAAACAGGCAAACACTTTTTAAATGTGTGTTTAAAACATGGTTTACAAGTTTGAAATGCTGCCAGCTAACCTGAGGGAATGTCTGGGCTGTTCTCGCAGTGAGACTGTGTGACATAAATGCCCACATGACTTTTGCCACAGAGCTGGGGCATCCTTTGCTCTCAGAAATGTCAGCCATGAAATTCAAGAGCACACTAGTTCTCATTCAGTTCAATAACACCTATATCTGCCTAAAATTATAAATATCACAGTTTCTGGAGTTCTGTGACACTAGTCCTTGAGGTGTCGGAGGAGATCCCAGTGCAATCTATAAACTTCTAATGAGAAGACTTGAGGAGTTGGCTTTAGGGAAGAGATTAGTCATCTATTCTTTCCTGAGGTTTGGGATTTGCTTTTTATACCATACATGACATTAAACAAATATCAAATATTGGCACACCCTAACTTTCTTAGTAGTGAATAGTTTCTTTACAAAGAGGTCATTAAATAGGAAGAAAATGTTCAAATAGGAAGAGGAACTGGGAGGGAGAAGGGGAAAGGAAAGAAAGGAAAAACAATGAGAAAAGAAGGAAAAAATGGAAACAGCTTTTTTAAATAAGGAGGAGGAGAAGGGTAAAAGGGAAGGTAGGGGAACGGGGAAGAATGAAGTATCAAGATATATCATGTACCGGTACAAATTCCCTATGACGAATGTGATCATTATGCATATCTAAAATGTACCAATAAACCTAATTAGTTAAAGAAGAGAGATTGTGACTAGCGGTCTCAGATACATTTTTAATACACAATGAATCGACTGTACCCCGTTGAACAAATTATACAGCCTCGGTGTCTCAGCTGTTCTATTTGTGATGCAGGAGAAAGGGACTAATGGCCTCCGAGGGCCTCTCAGCTGTACAGATGAGTGGACAGGAAGTTCAAAAAGGTTGATAAACATAGTTAGAATACCTACTGGCACCAATGGAGGCAAGAAAGTGCCAGATACTGCTGGTAATACAGGAAACCTCTGACTGATTGTATGAAGTTAAATTCTGACTCAATCAGTTTGTTCAGTTAATGTTTTATTAAGATTAAAGGAGTGCATAGTTTATTACCTTATGGTACACAATAAACTGTAAACAAAGGACCTACAGATTTCTAAATGTAAGCAATCACCATACCTAAAACTTTTAGATGTCTAATTCTTACAGATTTCTTTCTTCATAATTTTGAATATATATATTTTAAATAAAATTCATTATTTTATTTAATGAATTTTATTCATTTTAAATAAAAATTATTCATTTTAAATAAAATTCATATATTTTCTCATACATTTGTCAAGTACAGTACTTTTTATAAATTATCAGAGCATTATGAATGAAAATTAGGCAAATCATTTCTTAAGCAGTTATAAAAAAACATTAAAGTTTTAATGGGTTGTTAGTATTGTTTAAAAACTCTAATACTTGTAAGTATTTGGGGCACGTGTTTATAGAACTATACATCATACACACATACTCTTCTGAACAAAAGCAAAAAGTACCTTGTAGAAGGTATTCTTCGAACTGGAAAAAAGTAACATATTATGAATTCTGACTTTGATACTTTTTACTCACACTTTTTTTGAGATAAGTTATATTTATGTAGTGCAGGTTGGTCTTGAATTCCCTATGTAACCCAGGCTGGCCTTGAATTTACAGCAGTCCTCCTGCCTCAGCCTCCCAAATGCTGAGATTACAGGTATGTGCCACCATGTTTGACTATTTATATTTTTTATCTACGTGTCCACCACTCATTTGTTCTGGCAGTATTTACTGAGCTGTATTCTAGGTACAAACCTTGTGCTTACAACGGTGTATACATCAAAGTTATGATCTAAAAGAGAGATGGACTTTAAAAACAAAATGCCCATAGATGTATATATAACCTCAAGTGCATAGGTAAATACCTGATATAACCTTTCAGGTCTTTGGAGTAACATCATACACATCATACACACATCATCATATGCATCATACACACATACTCTTCTGAACAAAAGCAAAATGTACCCTGTAGAAGCTTTGAGGAGCAGTGAGACCACATTTTACGAGGCCTTATTTGGTGCTGAGGGTCAGGAAATACGCCCTGAAGAAATGAAACACAGTTTGAAACCTGCAGCAGGGAGTTAGCCATGAGAAGAGTGTGGATCCCAGACAGGGCGAAGGAACAGGTGAAGATGCTGAGGAACTGCGAGAAAGCCAGGGTGGCTGGCATGGCAAAGGGGAGGGAGTGGGGATGGGCAGTGAGTGAGCCGGAGTGGAGACGACCCCACAGGATCTTGGAGGCCGTCTGGCCTGTCCCGTGTTTCCCCGAGGGTGTGGGAAGAGCTTGAGGGCCTCTCAGTGAAATAACCAATCTACAGTTGTCCTGAATTGCTTTGGTTGCCAAATGAGAGAGGGTCAGAAAGGAAGCAAGACTGTAAAGGCAGAAACCAATTAGGAGGCTCTCGCAGTAATCCAGAGAGACAGACACAGCGAGTGCTTACATTTTAAATAATTGATCCGAACATATGAGGAATGCTTACATTTTAAAATGCTATTATAGCAAGAGACATATTGCTTTTAAACATGAGTACATGTGTCTCACTGTTCTTGCCACTTTCTTTTTTTTTTTTTTTTTTCTCCGGTACCTGGAACTGAACTCACGACCTTGCACTTGCCAGGCAGGCGCTTTGCCGCTGAGCTAAATCCCCAGCCCCTGTTCTTGCCACTTTCTAAAGTGTTTATTTTGTTTCTCTTCTCTGAGTACGTGTTTGCCGTACTTGGTGCTTGCCTTCCTCTTAGGGAATGGCCGCATGTACTTAGTATATCGTGGCTCTTTTGCACTCCCCTTCCCACCAGCTCCCTTCCCACTCCATCTCTAGGCCCCTTTTCCACACTTTCCTTACTATTTTTTTCAGTTTGTGTCTGTCATATGTAACAGTCGCATTCATCGTGAGATGTTGGTACAGGTACCTGACACATCTTAAATCTTTTACGTCCCTTTTCCTTCCCGCTGCACCAGATGTGCTCTTTCATGTATTTAGTCATGCTGTCATGGCTGTCTCCTACCCTGAGTTGATTCAAAACATTCAATTTTCATGGTCATTTTTACTCTGAGGAAGATTCAGAAGTTTTACAATAGAAGAGCTGGTAAGAAGTTGGATGAGGACACAGTGATGTTTTTAAGAGCCTGCCTTTCTGTAAAATGACACATGGCAGCAATGTTTACCATATTTTATCACACTGGTAAAGACACTCATGAAAGAAGACTGCCAGAACTGCTTCAGAAAGTGGCAAGAACAATGGGAAAGTGGAAATTCAGAAAGTGGCAAGAACAAAGAAGAAATATTTCGAGGGTATTGATGGAATTATGTTTTTTGGTGTAATAATTTTTAAAAATTTTAACATTTACTGTCTATTTTGATCTCACCTCCTATTGATGTTTTGGAATATTAGATGGCAATAAAAATCAAGAAATAAATGGATATGACATATTGTCTGGAAAAAATCATAGGACTCATGAGTACTTTCATTTAGAAAGATCAGGGAGAAAGAGAAGTCATAGATAATCCTCAAGTTGCTGAACTGGGGAGGTGAAGGTGCACCATACATGGAGGAGGGGGGCACAGAAGCGGAGTAGATTTGAGGAGGAAGGTGGCATTTCCCATTTCCCAAAATGTGGAAATGAAGGCGGCTGGGTTTCTGTAGACGCACGATCAGGCCAAAACTGCATTACTGTGTCACGTTAGCGAGCCACACTGCCTTTAATCATTGTGTCTGCTTTCCCGCCGTGCTGCCTTTGGCCTCCACCCACAGCCTTGCAGGATAATGGCATCATTCTATTTGGCCAAAGTAAACATTTCTACTCTGTGCTTGTAATGAGTGTGTAAGCCTCCTGAAAGTTCCAGAGTCTGTACCGCATCGGCAGTCTTTCAACTAAGACCCTGCTTAGCAAGAGGAAGGAAACCTTTCCAGGAACTGAGCCTGTGACCAGAGGGGTGGATAACAGCCTTTAAAAAAAATCATGCTCCAGAGGCACTCACAAGGGCTGCTCCTGTCCAGCCTCCGATCTCTGCTGGCTCCAAGTGGGTTGGGAGCCTGCCCCAAAGGATGTGGAGCATTTTGCTGTGGTCCTGGGGGACAAAGGTTTGGAGAGAAGCAGGTCTGAGGTTGAATTCCAGAATCCACTTGCTAAATGACCTTGGGCAACTCACCCAACTAACTTTCCAAGCCGCACTTTCTTGAGTGCAACATTAGGATTTCCCTCATTCGGTTTGTTTGGGGATGGAAAGAGATAACACCTGTAATTACCCTGCCCAGGGCATGGCACAAGGTAAGCCTGCCATAAACAGGAGCTCAGTGTCCCAGCCACTTAGTGGAGATTACTTTTGTGAAGCACTGGATATATGGTTAGCCATCATCGTTATTTCCTGTCTTCTGGATACTGAAAACTTCTAAATAACCACAATGGTAAAGTTTTGCAAAGAACAGTAAATGAAAAAGTTCTCTTCGCACACTTTCGAGCTTCAGGCACTAACAAACTTGAATACTTAACTCACTAATTGACTCAAGTTCTCAGGGCCATGTCTTATTTAATGCTCTAGTTTATCAAAATTCTCCAGTAATGCCCTTTGCTCTACATGCTTCAGCTTATTTGGACATTACTTTTATTCACTTAGAGTTGTGGAGGCGGACACAGATATACCCCAACGTGTTTTATGGTCCTGTGAGTTACACATTCATCTCCTACCCAGTGCTGTAGAGCAATGAAGACACCCTATCAGAAAGGTGATGTTAATATCACTTGGGACATGTGCACCCGAGGCCTCTTTCTGGTTGCCCTCTTTGAGAGTTCCTGGTGTATTTGGCAGCAGCACTATTATCCAAGCCATAATTGCGCCCCTGAGATGGAAGTCGCGCATGTGACCCTCCTTGAACTTGGCTGCCCTGGTGAGGACACAGGCACATAGCCCGGGGCCAACTTTGCTTCTGCGGCTCCTTACCGACCCGGTGGGCACTCAGTAATCACTTTCCACGGAGCAATTTCTCCCCATCTAAGGCAGTTCATGGAAACTGAGGCTTCAGGAAACTCAGCTGCAAATCCCCTGGTGAGCATTATCAACCAAAGCAAAAGAAAAATTACTCCAGACATTAACATCAAAATTATTTTTTCAGCTTGCCCGTATGTACAGAGAGGACTACGTATTGCTGTTATTACTTATTGCATGAGCAATTCCCCATGCAGCAGTGAGGTTTTTTAAGGCGTGTTTTTAAGTATAAGGCAGATGTAAGTAGACGGCAGTGTGGCAAATAGAATGTCTTAGGCCGTAGCTGGGCGGTGCTCCCTGGAGGGAACTAAACTCATCTCCCACCTCACTCAGGTCAGTCTCGCTGCCTTCCTTCTACAAAATGCATTCAGGTAAACAATTACTTCATTTCTTCTCTTGCACTCATTTGTAAGTTATGACCTTTCCTTGTGCCTGTCTGGCCCTGTAAGTAGAGGTATGCCCTGGTTTATAGACCCTTTGTGTGCATGCGTTTGACTAAGTGTCTGTAAGCTAAAGCACTTTCAAAACCCATTAGGAACCTAGGTTTATTAAAGAAATCCAAGGAAAATTATATTAATAAAATAGGAATTCGCTCTGACAAGTTAAGTATAGCTTGTAAACTTACTATTTTTTACACGTTTAAATTGCAGATTAGTTGGTTATTAACGAGGAATATTGCTGGTAATAAAGATGCTACTTCCCCACAACTTTCAGTGAACTCAGCTTCTTCATCGTAAGGACACTGGGATTAGAAAAGTGTTCATAAGAAATTTCAGGTGTTGCTATAATATTTTTTCTTAAGCACAGAAGAAATATAATTATTAAACTTTAGGGAAAGTGGATGGTCAGCACCTGGGTGTGTGTTACACTGTTTTAATTTTTTCTGCTTGAAATATTTCACATCAAAAAGAAAAATAAATTGTTTAGGACACTCATGCTTCCTTCTTTTCTCTATTATTATAGAAAGTATTTATCTTTTCTGGAACTTTTAGAAAAAACCTGGATCCCTATGAACAATGGAGTGATCAAGAAATATGGAAAGTTGCAGATGAGGTAAGAAATAACATTTAACGAGATAGTCTATATACACAAAAGAGTGGTTGTCATAGCTGAGATGATTTTCCACATGTACTTTGTGTGTGTGTGTGTTGGTGTGTGTGTGCATATGTGTACAACTTTAAAATTACATCCCTAACTTTCCCAGAGCACCAGATTCCTTGGATTAGACCCATTTCCTTGCCCAGCTGGACTCAGGCCCACTTGGATTACTGTAACAGAATACTGTAGACTGTGCAGCTTGCAAACAGCAGATACTTATTTTTCACAGTTCTGAAGTCTGAGGAGTCCAAGATAAGGCGCTGGCAGATGATGCCTGGGGAGGGCCTGCTGACCCAGACATGGACATGTTTTTGCTGTGTCCTGGGAAGAAGGGGCAAGCTCGCCCTCCAAAGCCTCTGATAAGGCTCAGATCCAAAGCGCGCGCTGTGTGGAGTCCTCACGACCTCGTCACTTCCCAAAGGCCCCTCAGCCTAGTACATCACTGTGGGGGTTCCACCCTGTGTATCTGGAGGGTCATGAGCATTTATTCCACAGCAGGTCCCATAGGGAGCGTTACTTTGGCCCTCTTCCATGCTTTCTTGTCCACTCCCTCTGGATTTTGAAGCTGTCCCAGCCCAAGGAAGAGGCTTTCGTCTGATAGGACAGACTACTCTGGGAAGCACAAGGTTAGCACAAAAGGATGATGTTTGTTGTAGAGCACATACAGATGCCTGTACTCATCTCTGGAAGTCATCAGCTGTCTGTCTTCAGAGGATGTGGCCCCAAGCACTGGCAGGCAGAACGCCACGTGACCTACATGAAGCATGTGCCATCCTGTGAACTCATTAGGGTGTCGTGCAGGAAACATGTGGGCTAGAATGGAAGCCAAACTGAATAACAGCCTGGGTTTGTCCAACGATTATGCATAATTGAAAGCATTTCACAGAGAAATGGGGGGCACTTGACTGAAATTCTTGGCTCCTTTAACAGAACATTCTATCTGTAAACTGAGAATTTGTGAAATACAGGTATGACCTAAAGAAAAGGGAGCACAATTTGTTCTATTTTGTTAACTCTGGGTTTTGGCAAAATAGAATCATGAGACACAGAAATATTGAGATTCAGAGGTCTTAGAGAACAGCTTTATTCTATTTCCTGTACTTTTGGCCCTTGTAGCCCAATTTATGTTTATCCCAAATGTTCCTCCTTTTTGTGCCTCCCTTCGAAGCAGACCTTGCCAGGAGCTTTGAAATACCTGTCAGTGCTAAGCACTTACCAGTTGAGTGCCCAACCTTAGCATGCCTCTCATAAAATGTCCTCAGATTAACCGTTTTCATTATCGAAGTTTCCTTATTACCCAACAAATTCAGGAGCTTTAAAGCAAACATTAACTAAATTGCAAGTGACGCGTTTTAAGATCTTTGATGTGACTTCCTAGGGTGAGCTGTAGGAACACAGTGCGGTGGGAAAGGACTCACGAAGGGAGATACTGTACTTTATAAAAATTTGCAAGTATTGCCAAGTCACCATAAAATGAGCAGGAAGGCGGGACCATAAAATAGTTTAAAATTTGAGAAGACATGGTTAAGACTTTAAATACCAAGACAATGCAGATAGTTACATGTCTAAGTTTTTATTTGATCAGCCCATGTCTAGCATCTTCTTATTGATCCCCTCTGTAATAACTTGTAATTCATTAACACAGATGATGGTGCTGTCCCAGCCGAACTGTCATATGGTTTGAAGTGATAGGTTTTTGGTGAAGAGGCACCTAAACAGTATACAGCAAGCAAACCAGCAGCAGCCTAGAAAAGGAGAAAGAGGTGCTGGGCTTAGAGGTTGTAAAGTCTAATCTTTCTTTAATCCCGCGGGGTTGATCATATAATTTATGCAAACAGGAACATTTTGGGGGATGTCAAACCCTAAAGTGGACGTGACACTGAGACAAAAATTGCAAGTGATCATTGCAAGGTGGGTGGAGAGTGTCTATTTTTGTCAGTGCCCACTAATGGATTATTTAATTAAACCACAATTCACTTTTCTTATTTTTTGTCCTTTTCACAGGAGCACACTGTTGCTTGATAGTAACATTCCAGAGCATAGCAATAGCAAAGCCAGCATTTTGAACAATGTTCCTAATACTTACAGGCTGTTAAACATTTTTAGTGCGACATGTTATAAAACAAAATTTCTTCTATCCTAATAGCAGTCTTGGAGTTACATGAGATTTATTAGCTCAGCAACGCAATGCTGGAAAATTCTTTTGTCTTTAAAGTTCCATACAGCCACAAGATGTGGGTGCTCTTATTTATTTTTAATGCTAGGTTGGAATGAAAATAGTGAGGAAAGTTCAGATTCCAAGTCTCAAGTTTAGATTTTGAACTCATCTTGATTTCAACAGAAGTGAGCTAAAGTTTGCATTTATTTTTAGTCTATTTAAAAGTGGTTTGGAATGATAGTATTAATATCATTACATTGGGAATAGATAAATGTATTTGCATGTGCTGTGCATATTGTATGTATATAGATGTACATATGTGTATATTGTACATCTACATAAACATATGCTTATGTATATATGATTTCTGCTGTCAGAGTTCACTAAATTAATAATATCTATGGCCATTTCCATTTCGGTCTTTTGTTTTCTTTTGCCCGTAATGCTTATCTCTTGAACAGTAATTTCTCACTTATTATTCCCCCCCAACTGGGCCATGAGTTCCTTCAAGGTAGGGCCTAGGATTACTCACCTTTGAATTCCGAGTTCTGTCAGAGTACCTAGAATTTAATAAACTCTCATTAGGACAACTGAAGGAATGCATGACTTAGCAGTCATTCTGGTCCAGATGGTTAGTATGCAAACTTAAGCCAGTTTTATCAGCATATATAGTTGGTGACATTAACTTTGCATCTTTTCAGAAACAATTGCTGGTCTATCTTGTTTCCATTTTCTTTCAAATGGCTATTACAGGGGCTGGGGATTTAGCTCAGCGGCACAGTGCCTGCCTGGCAAGCGTGAGGTCATAAGTTCGATTCTCGGTACCGGAAAACAAAACAAAACAAAACAACAACAACAAAAAAAGAAATCACAAATGGCTATCACAAAATGTAGCAGAAAATATGTACTTTATAAACTTTGTAAATGTTCACTGGATTCACAAGTTCGTTTTACTCACTTACATGACCTATCCTAGTGAATAGGATTCTAAAAGAATTTTACTATATTTCATAGTGAATAAAACGGTAAATTTGGAAAGTTGCAAAATCGCCCATGGGTTGGAGGATTGGTCAATGTCATTGCCATTTGCTTTTAAAACTCTTCCTCTAAATATTGACTGTGATACACATGTATGTATTATTTACTTGCAGTGAAGAACACACTTTGCTTAGCTCTTCCTTAGGGAAGTGCACAGTATAACATAGTAAAGTAGCTGTCCCAGGGAGGCCGTGGGAAATCAGTGAATGACTGATGTGACACTGTAGGGGAACACTCCATGCTTACCAAAATCCCAACCCTATTCCCATGGGCGTGACTTAACCGCTTTGTGGCATTCTGCTGATTTACTTTCTGAGGCAACTTGTGCAGGGGAAATCTTGCAAACTTTATTGTCACACTAGGTTGGTGTTTCATTGCCTGAGCTTGGGATTTCCCGAGTTCCAACAATCCTAGTAGTTATCATTAGTTACCTTGTGCTTTACTCTATGGAAGCCTCTTTCCACAAACCCTCTAGGCTGATAGTACTGTTTTCTTCTTTTTTTACATGAGAGGTAAGTGAGATTTAATGTAGCATGCCTGCATCAAGAGCAAACGAGTAAAGGAGTGCGCATTCAAAGCCAATTCTGATAAATTCAGAGCTCCACTGTGTGTGTGTGTGTGTGTGTGTGTGCGTGTGTGTGACTGGGGATTGAACCCAGGGCCTTCACACTCAGCTACATCTCTAGCTCTTTTTTGTACTTTTATTTTGAGACAGGGTGTTCTAAGTTGCCCAGGCAGGGCTTGAACTTGCAATCCACCTGCCTTAGCCTCTCATAGTGCTGAGATTACAGGCATGTGCCACCAAACCTGGCTTACTCAGTCTTTTTTCTTGATGGTTAATTTAACTAAAACAACTTTAAAGTACTGCTGACTGATCTGAAATAAAGTACTAATTTGTTACCGTTAGGACAATTCTAATTTTGTAATTTGATATTGGCAGAATTTTCTAGTCTGAAAGAGTTACCCGCCAAGTGATGTGTTCTGTATCATATTACTAATGGCAGCACTAAAGCCGGACCCACTCCTTCACCTTTCCTATGTGCACACTGCAAACCCAGAACCCTTGGAGGAACCAGCTCACATTTGTCACTCCCAGTGCCTTTTGGGCTAACCGGCGCTTAACACTCCCTGGAGTTTGCTGAATGAATGAGGCTCAGCGACAAAATAAACCTTCAGCTGATCCTTTAGCTCTGTCAAGATTATAAACAGATTTTTGCTCACTCAAACAGTGGAAGTTAGGCTGGGGGTTAATGTCAAATTTAATCTTTCCAAACTTGTAGGTGTGTTTTGAGCTTGTTAAGCTCTTGAGTGGTTGTAGCCTTGTGGTATCTCTCTAAGCAGTGTTTTGCTTCCTTATTGCTGCAGGTTGGACTCCGATCTGTGATAGAACAGTTTCCTGGGAAGCTTGATTTTGTCCTTGTGGACGGGGGTTACGTGTTGAGCCATGGGCACAAGCAGTTGATGTGCTTGGCCAGATCTGTTCTCAGTAAGGCAAAGATCTTGCTGCTTGATGAACCCAGCGCTCACCTGGACCCCATGTGAGTGTCTAAAGGCCTGTCCCAGCCCGTCAGTCAGTGGCACACAGGAGCAAAGCCACTAGACCTGTACCGCATCCGTGCAGATTCCCGCTGGGTGTCGTACCTGCAAGTGGAGGGTCCCCACACTGAGAGGCGGGCACAAATGCCCATTGCCTCATATGACAGCCCTATGTTCTCTTCTGAATGGAGAGTTTTTCACTTTCATACAAACTCTTCCATTTTCTCAACACATGATGAAATAGTTAGTTACATGGGCATACTTTGATCCTTATGGTTTTTCTTTATATGCCATTTATACCATGAACATATTTATAGCACAAAATAAATAACTACAAGTGATTTTACATGGTAAAATATATTTATTTATGAAACTTAGTTCAAAATATTTGTTCTATTTATGCATCCTTAGCATCTAGCCCATGGCTGAAAAGCTGATTGTGGTTAACTCTATATCAATGCTATATTAACAGCATTTAGAGAAAGAAATAACTTAAACTGGCATTGTGGCACACACGCGTGATTCCAGCTCCTCAGTAGGGGGAGACTGAAGGGTTAGGAGTTCAAGGGCTCGTAGCCCTTAAGCAACATAGCAAGATCCCATCTCACTTTTTAAAAACAAATAGTAATTTAAGGAACTAAACAGAATAATGGGCATGCTATCAAAGATAAAGTTAGATTACCTATCTTCTGTGATGTTATATATGGCATTTTCTTTTCTAGAACATACCAAATAATTCGAAGAACTATAAAACAAGCATTCGCTGATTGCACAGTGATCCTCTGTGAACACAGGATAGAAGCAATGCTGGAATGTCAGCGATTTTTGGTGAGTCTTTATGTATTTACTGTAGATCTCATTTCTCTTGTAATTCTCAATACCAACATGCATATTATAGTTACTGCAAATTGCAAATTGTACAGGTTCTAAATTAAAATAGCTGTCATAAAGCCATGCAGCTTTATTCAAACTAGCTGTACAAGTTTTTATGTAAACTATGAGATGAGGGTAAAATTCAGTAGACCCAAAATATATTATTTCATGACATTAATAAGGCAGGTATTGGGCAACCACTCAGGCCCCCCTTCTGTCCCTCTCTTGGACAGAAGCTTTCTTTCCCTCAATAAATATATTCTGCTCTTTAAGAAATTCAGGTATTTATGCTTTTTGAGGCCTTTCTTTGGGGATCAAGTCATAAAAAATACTCTATTGTTAAACAATAACGATGTTTCGTGGCTCTTTCAATTTGTCTAGCTCTCCCCTGGATAGGGTGCAGTTACGGCTTTAATGCTGTAGTTGAAGGGACCTTTCTAGCTGTCTAGTCATTATTCGGTGCTCAGGTTAGTGCCTCTCGCTGTGCTTTCAAAACCTCACAGATTCCTTCAAGTGACGTTCATAAATTCCCTCTGGTTTACTCATAAGGAAGCTGGAGGACAATGTATTATGTCATCTCTCTAAGGCTTTGGAGCCTTCTGGAGGGAAATGTTTTCCTTACTGAAGGATTTGTAATACCGTCATTACTACTAAGCTCCAAGCGACAAATTAGGGAGCAGACTCATAACCTCTTACCGTGTCACGGACACGTTTAGGAGGTTAGATAAGGTCCTGTCCTCTGCCCTTGGGTTTGCTTGGCTTCTAAACACATGGAGACATATTACACTGAGGCACATCTTGTCCAGTTTGGAATTGTTGAGCTTCTGACGTGCTGTTGAAGAGGCTTAATGCCGGATCATGGTGTGGATTTAACTCATTTTGTGGTTCTGTACCAGGGATTTGTCATCAGTCATTCTTCTTCCCAAGTGTCCTCAGTTCCTCCAAAAGTTCTCTCAAGAAGTACATTGCTTGGTTCTACACTAATTTTTTTTTTTTTTTAAGTCTGGTTGCTACATAGAAAAATGCAGCTAATTTCAAAATTGGGAGGATCTCCTTAAAGCAAGGGGCTGCAGCAGTTAAATGCAGGGTAGGTGACATATATTCAGGCTCGGGACACTGTTTTCTCTTGGCTTTCATTTTCCTCGGGCCTCTGCCCATTTCTGTCCCTGTGCCGGTCTGCCCTGCCCTCCATCTGAGATCTCACTCGTGGCCACTTCCCTAGGTCATAGAAGAGAACAAAGTGCGGCAGTATGACTCCATCCAGAAACTGCTGAGCGAGAAGAGCCTCTTCCGCCAGGCCATCAGCTCATCAGACAGGATGAAGCTCTTCCCCCACCGCAACTCCAGCAAGCACAAGTCTCGGCCCCAGATTACTGCTGTGAAGGAGGAGACAGAAGAAGAAGTACAAGAAACACGGCTTTAGAGATCAGTGCAAACGTTTGCTTGGGACATTTGCCTATGGAGATGGAGGAAAATCAGCCGCTTCGGAAAACAGGGATGGATGATTTTTTTTTTTTAAAGGAGCATTTCAGTAAGAGGAACGTTCACTTGGGTCTGGATGGTTAAACTGTGTGAAAGGTACTTCGAATCCTTGAAGATTTACCACTTAAGTTTTGCAAGCCAGATTCTTCTGAAAACACTTGCCCTTTGGTAGTAGTTGAAAAGGCGGCTATAAATGCCAGCAAGGTTAGTTGTTCAGCCTATTGTTAATGAAACTTGTTAATTTATATCACTGGAGAAATGAAATCGTACTACTTAGAGATATTAGCAATCATAGCTAAAGAACTTAATGGTGTATGTAGTTGATATCCCTTTTTCTCTCATCTCTCCAGGGTGTGAAGACACACAGCTATATTGTCTACTGAGCATTCTGGCTGTCTCATTTCCAGTCAAATACTTAGAATATTGCAGGAGTCACAAGATAGTCCATTAAAATATGCCCATTCAACATCTAGTAATCAATCAGGAGTGAGAACTTCCAGACCCTAGAAATCAGGGTTGGTACCACCCAGCTCTACCAAACATCTAAGTAATTCAGATAATCGGAATATATCTTGATCTGAGAAATGTCTGCTATCATCCCATGTAAAAGATGGACTTATTTCCTTGATGTAAACATTGACATGCCTTTCTCATCCCTAGAAGTAATAGGGTCATAAAACCTTTGAACCAGAGAGTGGATGAAAAAGTGTGTTGGTGAAAATTGGTACAGGACGATAGTTCCTACCACAGAAACTGCAAGCACAGAATATGTAGATAGATAAACCGTGGATGCTACGGGTAAATGCCCAGGAAACGTAAGCACCCAGAGGTACAGGATGGGGCAGTGTGTTTTCAGGCTAGCTACGTGTGGGTCGTGCTGTCCAGGCTGAGTGAGAGAGACAGTGGGAAATACCCTGAAGACAATTCAATCATGAACCAGTTTTATATGCGTCTGTTTTATAACTTTGTGATGCAAATGAAATTTTCTCTAGGAAATATTTATTTTAATAATGTTTCGAGCTCATATACAATGATACTGTATTTTAAAAATGATTATGAATTATATTTGTATGAAAGAATTTTTATATTTGAAATGTTGACTTTTTGTGGCACTAGCTATTTTTATGGTATATTAAAATACGGGCAGGGGACCTAGTATGACGTGGTCCAGGGGCCACGAGTCACATTTACGGTGTAAAGGGGAGGACTGCGGTTGATGCAGACAGTGTACACATCTTGGTGACTCTGAGTCAGCACAGATTCCCCTCAGAAGCATTTCTCTCAGGCGAAGAAGATGGGGTCAGAAATCTGACTGCTCCTAACAAGAGCAAACTGCCTTTCCAACTCCACACTAACCCTTCAGACGATTGCATTGTATTTATTACTGTAAGAAAATACCATGTGTCAATAAAATCCTTATACTTGTGTGACGCGCCTTTGTTTTGGTTGCATTCATTAGTCATATTTTTTTGATCTCTTATTTAGTCTGTAAACTTCAGCAAACACAAAACATGAATCTTTCCTTTAGACTTAATCTCTTTGAGAGTCGGATGCAAATTTTAAAGTTATCTTTTTGAATTGAGGTAGTATAATAGCTACCATTCCAACCATTTTAAAATAGAGCTCAGTAACCTTTTGTAAATTTACATTATGCAATTACCACCACCATTCATCTACAGAATTTTTTTCGACTTGAAAAATTGAAAATCTTTACCCGTTAGACAATAGCTGTCCCTTCTTCCACCCCTGGAAAGCATGATTCTACTTTCTATGTCTATGATTTTTGAATACTCTAAATAATTCCTGGGAGTGGAATCATATAATATTTCTTTTGTGCTTAGTTTTTTTCACTAGCATGATGTCTTTAAGGCTCATCCATATTGTATAATGTGTCAGAATTTTCCTTTATAAGCCCAAATAATATTTATATATTATGCAAATTTAAATATATATTTATAATATTTATTATATATGTATATATGTTACTCAACTATAAATAGTATATATCATATATAATTATATATTATATATAATTGGTCTATATATATGGGACTATATATATATGTTACTAGACTATATATATGTACTGGACTGTATACTAATTTTACACACACACACACACACACACACACACAGAGTCCAGTAACATGCAGTGAAATGGAGGCAATAATAAAGATAGCTTCCAACTAAGGAAAGCTCAGGTCTGGCTGGATTCCCTGCTGAATTCTATAAAAACTTCAGAAAAGATCTAATACCAATGCTTCTGAAGTTCTTTAATGGAGTTGTAAGGGAAATAGTGCTCTCAAAGTCTTTCTTCAAAGATACCATTACCCTGCTTCCAAAACTAGGCAAGGATCCAAGCAAAAAAGAGAGTAGATCAATCTAGTTAACAACTGTAGATGCAAAAATCCTCAAGACACTAGAAAATAGAAAGAAATGAATCATCAAAAAGATCATACATAATGACTTCAACCCATGAATGCATGGATGGTTTGACATACATAAATTATTAAATGTAATACATCACATAAACAGAAGTAAAGAGAAAAACTACATGATCATCTCAATAGATGTATAAAAAGCCTTTGACAAAATCCAGCACCTTTTCATGATATAAGAAAATAGGTAAAGAAAAACCTTATCTCAACCTGATAAAAACCATTTATGACAGACTTACTGCTAACATCATATTAAATGGGGAAAAACTGAAAGCTTTCCCTCTAAAATCAGAAACAAGACAAAGATGTCCACTATCACCACTGCTGTTAAAAATAGTACTTGAAATATTAACAAGAACAATTAAGCAAGAAAAATAAACAAAAGAGATATGTATAGGAAAGGAAGAAGTGGAATTATCATTATTTGCAGATGACAGCATTCTGTACACAGAATACCCACCAGAAAAGTCACCAAAAGACCCCTAGAATTAATAACCAAATTCAGCACTGTAGCAGGATACATAATCAGCACACAACAATCAACATTCCTATATACCAATAATGAACTCACTGAGAAAGAAATTAGAAAAAAATACCACTCAACCATAGTATAAGGAAAAACTAAATACTCAATATGAAGTAGGGAGACAGCTTTCCTCAAATGGGAAGGGGATCAAGAGATGCGGCAAGGGAGGAAGGAGAGGAGGGAGAGGAGGTGAGTAAAGGGATTAAGACGTGTGACGTACAAGCATCAACTCCATACAAGAAATGTAGACCTATGTACTGCAAAGATGTGTTAACAAAATAAAAGTAAGTCCCTCCTTTTTTATCTGCTCCATAACTTTTAGTTGTTGTGTCCAAATTGGTTTTCAGTTTTTTCCCCTGCCCCATTCCTTCTTCTCCTTATTTTCCAATGTTGGGGTCAACAGTGTCAACCCAGAGCTGTTCTGCTGGCCTACCTACTAACGGGCCCGGCAAAGGCAGTCTTCATTTTTATTAGCAATTCTGGTCTCCACTTTTTCTTCTTGGTTCTTTCTTGGAATTTCCGTCTCGCTGCTTAGATTTTCCACCCGTTGTTTTCATGTTGTCTACTCTTTCCACGACAACTACAGCATGTCAACCAGAGTTGTTTGAAAATTCCTGGTTTGATAATTACAATGCTCTTACCACGTCTGACTGTGGTTTTGATGTCTGCTCCTTGTTCAAACTATGTTTTGTCCTTTCTAGTCTGCTTTTGAATTTTTTGTTGAAAGACAGACATGATTTACTGAGAAAAGGAGCTGTGACAATTAGGCCTTTGGTGACACAGTGGTAACATGGGGGCAGGGATGACCCCCTCTCCCATCCTTTGATTGGTCTTTGGGGGTCCTGAGGCCCTGGACTGGAATGTCACCAGCGCTTCTTAGAGTTTGTGCTTTTATTTAGGTGGAGCAAAATGGGTAGGGGGGCTGGCTTTGCCTACTTTCCTTTGCTCAGTTACCCTATGCTCTGATAAGACCCCAGAAAATTACCCTTTGGTATGGAGTTGTCCCAACACAGTGCTGCGGGACTTTCAGAGTGATTACATTGCCCTTCCCTCTGCAGACGCGCAGGAGACTTTTCCTCAGCATTCACTACCAACATTTCCGGCAGAGCTCTTACACGCGGTGACTGTGAATGGAAGTATGGGCTCCGCGCGTCCGACTGTGCCTCCCGAGAGCTTTTCATTCTTTGTGCTGTTTACTCCGAGCCTCCAGCAGCCTGTCCGGTATAATTCAGGTTTTCCAACCAGGCGTGGCACTGGGTCCTGTGGAGATTTTTGCTCAGTGGCTTTTGCTTAGGTAAGTTGTATTTTTCTCTGTCCCTTGTCTGTTGCTCCAATTTTGGGGACAGTGATTTGTCCTGTGACCTCACTTGTCTGAAGTATCTTAGGTAAGTTCTTCAGTTTCTGCAGTGTTTTTATTTATAGTAGAGTGATGCCTCCGAATTCTTTAAGTGCTGGGCTGGGAACTAGAAGTCTTTCTAGTTCATTTTTAGTTGAAAGAGGGGAGAAAAAGAACTTTGCGACACTGGATGGTGCCTGACGTGGTCACCCAAGGTCTCGTGTGTTGGGAGCTGCTTGGACAGTGCATTACTCCACTGACGGTTCAAAGATGAATGTGCTGCTCGGACGTGGGGCCTGGTGGGAAGAGGCAGGTCCTTGCGGGTGTGGCCTGGAGAGTGCATTCTCGTCTCTGGTCCTCCCCTCTCTCTTTGCTTCACCTTGAGATGAGCAGTTTTCCTGTCATGCCAGTGCAGTTAGAAACAAGCAGCTGAGTGAGCAACTCCCTCCCCTTCGTTCAGCTGTAAACACCACACCACCCTCATGATTACCCGTGCTTCTGTAATCTGAAGAGAGCTAGTACAGTTGGATCCTGGAAGCTGTGTGAGCACTCCCTTCTCCATCCAACAGTAAACAACACCACCCTAATGATTATCCCGTCAAACTTAGGACACCTGGATGCCTGAGGCTGCAGCTCACCCCTGAGAGACCGTGGAGGCGCGAGGATCGGGTGTCTGACCCTTTAAATACTGGACGCCTGAGGTACCAGCTCCCTTTTCCCCCTTGCCCGGCTGCCTGTTCCTGCTGCCACCGACCCAGATCTTCTGTACACACAGCCACTGACTGTACGCTACAAGGTTCGCTTGGCACACACCCTGCTTTGTCATACACAAGAACCTGCACTATTTTGGGCCCACTCACCTGTAACAATGCCGTGCTATTTCTGCCTTGGAGTTAGCCAACCATGTACTGAAACCCTGCGTCAAAGCACACCTCTCCTCCTTTCGGTGGTGGGTGCCAGATATTTTTCCCGTGACCAGAAAGGAAGTAATGCAGAGTCAGATGCAGACTAAGTGGGACAACAGAGGCTCTAATTAATAAAAGAAGGAGAACACTGAGATGAGAAGGGAAGGTCGTGTCGGTCGTCCAAGCTCCACTCTTATCCCAACACTTGGTATTTTCTTGTACCGGGTTTTCTTCCATTTTTTAAAAAAAGTGATTTTAGCCACAGAATTTTTATCCATTTGTTTTTCTTTGTCTTGATGCTCAGGCTGTACACGCTCAGTCTAAGCCCCCTGTGGTCCACATACATTTTCTGAATTTTGTCTCCTCTCCTTCACTTTATCTTCCTTAGGAGAAGAAAGCAAAACCTTGAAACTAATACATTTCTTTCAGTAACCGGGGGATTTCCACCATTGAGAAACTGCTACTTATTACAGTGAAAGACTAATAAAAACCTTAAAGTAAATATTTTAGTAGTTGGCTAAAAAAAGATCTTCAAATACTAGTGGAAGGCAATTTAGAATGAGATTTATAACGAGCTCAATATGAAAACCTGTTTGACCTGTTAAAACAGGTGTGGATGATCACAATTTCCTACTAAAGAGGTACGATGAAAAAAACTTACAAATGTCAGACAAATACAGCGGGACCTGAGAACTCCAAAGCACTCTTCGGGAGTTGAAAGCTGCTCCCCGGGTGTACAGCTGGAGGCCAGAGCTGCCGCCAGTTGGCAGTGAACGGGGAAACAGTGGGCACTTGGAGAAAGATGGTTTCTCGGCAAAAGTTTTGGTTTTACCCTTAATTTATTATAATGGCAGTACTCACTTACTTTTGAGTAAGTTGGCTTCCCTAGTTATTAAATGACATAGCACCTTCTGAAATGTGGACAAAGATTTTTCTTTAAGTAAATATGCTAATGATAATTTAATTTTATGAAGCAAGGTAAACTAACGAAGCAATAATTCTAGATAGTTACTTAGATCAAAGTTTTGATGTCATTCTAACACATGTTCTACTGAAAAGTATGAAGCTGAATTAAAAGTAAAACTTTTTATGCAGAAATGTAAAGCTGTATTGAAAAGTACAACTCAAACTTCAGGAACTGCCCCCTGCTGGAGGCCTGGTTCTATGGTTAAGAACCGCCAGCTTCTCAAAAAAGCGTGGACTGCACCAGCCACAGACTTGACTGAGATTGGAACCTCACATTTTACTATTGGCCACTTTGTATATGGGAAATTAATTCTGAGCAGTTTGAGGGTATAAGTAGGTCTTTAACTACGATTTTTTTAAATAACCTCCCTTTGTCCCTGATGTAGTAATAGAAGGAATGATTTTTAATTATCACAGTGATAGATGTGCTGGTAAACGGAACTAAAGTGAGTTGTACTGCATTTTGATTGACAAATGTCAGCACAAATGTTTTTTAAAAAATGAAAAATGAGCATCTGCCTTGGAATTAATCCTTATGAAATTAACATAATAGAGTAATTTATAAAAATTTTCCTTTTTATTGAAAGAATTAATACACTGGGATACAACTGATTGGCTATCATTTTTGGTAAAAGTTCTCATGGACGACAGCACTATTTTTAAAACAACCATCTCTCTTCCCTTTTCTGTCTTCACTGGAGCAAGTGCTACAGGCTTATTAATAATCTGGAAAAAAGTTTGCAAGCAAACTTAGGCAATACTCTTATGAGGAAGAAATTTTAATTTTCTCTTATTTTTCAGTTGGGCCAAATGCTCCGGTGTCTTTGAGGAGCCAAAATGGGGGGCAATGTCCTTACATGACAGAGCTTCTCTCCTGGGAATCCCCGCCAACCACTTATGTCTGAACCAGGCAGTGTTGCCAGGCTACTGAGCTAGTAAAACATTAGAGTGCAAGCATTCTTAGTGAGTCTGAGGCTCTGTTGTAGTTACTTTTCATCCTGACACCATGGCAGATGCCCACAGCTCTAGGCAGGAAGGTTCTGTTGGCTCACAGTCCGCAGAGGTCTCAGTCCGTGTCAGCTGGCTCCAAGGCAGCGAGGCTGGCAGAGGAGAAACAGCTCATAGCATGGCAGGCAGAAGGCAGAGAGATCAGGGAGGGAGACGCACTCTTCCAGGCCACGCCCCCAGTGGCCACCTCCTCTAACCAGGCGTCAACTCTCAGCACCTTATTTACCTGTGATTCACCAGCGGAGGCATGATAGACATGGTATGCGAGTGCGACACCCCCTTGATCTAACCTCCTCTCCAGAACTCCACCTATGAGATCATGAGGCTTCACGGGGGCAGGAGATACAAACCATAACATATGAGCCTGTTACATTCTTTTACATTCTCTGGTCAATTAAAACTTTTATTTCTAAATAAGTTTTATACGCCTTTTACTGAGCTTCAGTAATTTTCAACTCAATGGTTATATTTTTTCATCTGTTTCCTTTCTGTGTTAATTTGAACATATCCCAAGTGCATGCATCTCTAAAGACAAGGCTTGTTCTCTAAGTGTTTTAAAAATGCACAGTATCATTACTGAGCTAAAAAAATGTTGTATTTCATATTTTCAAATATTCACTGACTGTATAAATGTGATTGTCTTAACTTTTTCATATATAGGTAGTCCTTGCTTTACAGAAGACTTATAGAAGTGACTTGTAATACTGGGAAAAATTGTTATTCCTTAATCTTAAAAATATTAAGCATTAAAAACTCTGTTGATTATAAATGTATAGGAAAGTGAAGAGAAAAGAAAGAAAAGAAAAGAAAAGCTAACGGTAGAGCTGGGGATTTAGCCTTATATTCATGTTTCTATTTCTAGATGTTGTCTTTCAGCTTAGTATTAATTTCTGCGGTTTTGAAGTTTTCGGATTTTTCACCTCCAGGATAACACTTTGAAACAATTCTTTCTAAAATTGAGTTTGAAGAATTTCTGTAAAATTCTTGTTTTGTTCCTCCCATAGTCCCTTTGAAGGAGGCTCTAAGAATTCTGAGACTTAGAAAGGTTAAAAGATCTTCCTAGAAAGCACATCTCCCTCCTGCATTTTGAACCATGAGAATGCTTATCCACTTACTGAAAAACTGAGACTCATTTTTAATCAGAGAGAAATCATTTGACAGTTCACTACACAGAGACAGGGAACCACTTCCTCTGGAGAAACCAAAGTTTACTTTGATGCTCTCAGTAGTGTACCATATGCAATGTTTCCTAGTTTATTTGGCCATGCAACCCAATTTTCTTGTGCCAATTACACTGTGTTTTGAGGAAGGTTGGCCTAAAACCTTTATTTTTCAAGAAAAGGGCACTGGAAATCTTTACCGCTAGCTGTATGGAAGGGGAAAAATTGCTTTCTCCTATCCATTTAGGTTACAGTGGTGCTTTAGTTCTTAGCCTTAGTTGTTTCCACTTGTAGCAAATTAACTCATCATTAATTTGCCTCAAGTACCAAAGAAATTATTTTGGCTGAAAAGGGTAGCAAGTCTCCAGGCAAAGGACAGCAATAAATTCTGGCTTGTACATTGAGTGCCAAACAGAGGACCACTACCAGGACAAAGTTTTCACATCAAAATGCATTGAGTATGAAATTTTACTGGTTGTTCCAAGCTATGACTACATTTGGCAGTTGTGAAAATTAAATTGACATAAGACAGTGCTATAGCTTATATCTACATGTCCCCTCAAATCTTCATGCACTTATAGGTGAGATATTTGAGAGGAGGCCAGGGGGCTGGGGATTTAGCTCAGCTGCAAAGCGCCTGCCTGGCAAGTGCAAGGTCGTGAGTTCGGTTCCCAGTACCAGAGAAAAACCAAACAAAAAAAAAAAGAGAGGAGGCCAGAGCATGGGTGTGCGGGACTGAATTAGTCTGATGATTGGTTTAGCATAGTTGTGAATGATAGGATTAATGAAGAGGGAAGCCCCGCCCTGGGTGTGGATGGCACCAACCAATAGGCTTGTAGCCTGAGGGAATATAAAGGGAAAGAAGGCAAGGCTTGATGCTGCCTAGCTGCCATGGACTGTTTGTCCTCTGCCACCCTGCTTGGAGCCAGCTGACTATGGCCTAAAAACTCTACAAACTGTGAACTAACATAAATCTATTGTCCTTTAAGTTGTGGGTGTTGGGTAGTTTGCCCCAGCAAGAAGGAAGTCACCAAGACAGGTTAATAGAAAAAGTTTTTAATCATATGTGCTCTCCGTGAAGTCCCCTAAAACTCAGAGACGCAGGCAGATGGTTGAGACTTAAGTATCATCTGAGTTACAGAAAGGAAGACAGGTTTGAAACTCCTGAGAAGTGGAGGTAAATTATGGAAAGGTGAAAAGAGGAAGTGTAGAGTCAATAAACGCTGCAGTTCCATGGAGATAAGTGAGGTGACGAAAGTCTTCCCTCAGGAGCAGCTCTTCCTGCTGCAGATACCTTTCCTAATGAAAATTTTACTTACAGACGTTTATGAAGGGGAAAATTTATATCTTAGACAGTGGCAGGGGAGGTGGACTTTCCTGCATTGCCTGGTTCTCAGTGCGCTCAATGGGTAATTAATACGGCAATGTGGCATATTTTGGGGTGATGTGTTCTGAACCCCCTTAACTGGAAATATTTGCATATTGCTAGTTTCTCCCTGGTGTCCTCTAGGATCTGCATATGGAAGAAAATGCCTACTTTCTATCTATTGAGAGTTGTCAACAGCCACCCGGGTCCCTGAGGGCATATCCAGCTTCTGTGAGGCCTGAGCCACATTCTGCCTAGAGCACTCTGGAATAGTGATCCTTGGAAGAGATTTAGAAAAGAACTTTGGGGCACTGGTTAAGTCTGGTACTACAAGGACAAGCTGCTGTGTTCTCTAGGGCCAAGCGCAGAGCCTGGCGCATAATGAGAATTT